ATGGTGCAAAATTTTGAAGTTTGATGGTCTGAATCTATTCCTTGTGTTTTTCATGTAGTATTAGCTTTCTTTGCTGTTTTCCACTGTTGACGCTCTTCATTTTTGTGAAACGTTTGCCCTTGTAAGCCAAACTAATGGATTAGTGCCTTAACTCTATCTTTTCCAACTCTTGACTGTGCTGCAGGGAATTGAAATGCATATTAGTTCAGGTGCTGAAAAGGTATTCCTCTAAAGGAGTATGCTTTTTATGAGTGGATTGTTAATGTTCTTATAATGTTAATTGGTTTTTAATTAAATCCATGGTCTATATGCCTTTGAATTTTAGCGTAGCCAGAAGAGGTCAAATTTTCTGTGCCTCTAGTGGATATGAACATAAACAAAATGGTGCATGCGTGCCCCTGGAGACATCCACAAAAGATATACTTGCAGGTTCCGTTTTCCTTCTTTTCCCTCTTATGTATATGCATGATTTAATTCTCAATAAGTAACTTGTACATTATTGCATTGTTGTTCAAATTCTGTCTTCCCCTCTGTCCTCCATTTATCTCACACCTCTAACAAAGTTTCTAATGTTGCAGGTTATATATCCTGTTGGAAGAAAGTATGCGTCCACTCCTTCGGCACCCCGTTTGAAATTGATGTCTACTATGGAGCTGAGAGTTCTGTTTTCTGTTGATGATGTCAAGCTTCCTCCATGGTTGGATGGAATGTAAGTTATGCACGTCATTCTGTCTTCATCTGTTGCATATCCTAAAAGATACACACTACTTGTGCTGACAAATCTCTGTTGATTTTTACATTACAATTGAAGGTGCTTGGCTGAATATCTTCCCCAGCTAGAAGAATCTCTTGAGAAGCAGGTTAGCTTCTTTTCTATAATCCAGGATTTACTATGAGTTGGTAGATTGAGTGTTTAATAATAGGAGTGCTCTGCAAATGTTCTTTACTCTCCAGGTCCGGGAAGCTGTTTCATTAATTGACATTAGAAGACGCTTTATAGAGGCATTAGCCCCACTGTTTGGAAGACCTTTGGAAGCTGATCCAGTGTGCATTCTTGGCATTAATCTCTCTATATATAAAGCTTTAGAACCTTTAACATTGACTGTTAGTTTGTCATTTCTTTCTTTGGCAGATCTTTTGCAGAAAAGCCACGTTTCTTGCATCTTCTGGATCCTTTGTTTTCCTGGTATGATTAGATAATTACTAATTATATCAGTTTGTGCGTGTGTTTGTTTACAGTATTTACATTTCTTGCATCCTCTTTCTCTTTGTCATATTAACATTTGATAGTACTGTTACCATAGGTGCACGTTCTTATTTCAACTCAATTTCCTAAGCAACAGCCCGCTCTGATGCTCCAAAGTTCTCAGGTAATGCTATTTTTTTTCCTAGTATGTAAAGCACTCAAGCTATTAAGTGCAATATTAAAATTCCATTTTAAGACAGATTAGAAAAGGGTTTTTGAATGTATCTCAAAGTGCACATGTTATTTATCCCTATATTGATGATATATCTGAATGAGTTTGGGGATCAAATAGCTGTCATGATTTTGTGCTGTATCAGTTCCCCAACTGGCTGTGAGAAGTAGACCTGTCAAAATGGGCTTGGCCCGTCGGGCCAGCCATTTTTTTTAAAATATGGGACGGGTTGGGCTTAAAAATTTAAGCCCGTATTAAAACCGGCCTAAACGGGCTTACCGTTTAGGCCCGAGGGCTGATCCGAGTTGGTACGGGCCAGCCCGGCGGGCCGCAGAGGGAATCGGGACTCGTGGGAGCCGGAGGGGGCGGGCAGCGCCGCAGGGGGGAACCGGGACTCGTGGGAGCCGGAGGGGGGCGGGTAGGGGCAGGGGGGAACCGGGACTCGTGGGAGCCGGAGGAGGGGCGACAGGGCCGCAGGGGGGAACCGGGACTCGTGGGAGCCGGAGGAGGGGCGGCAGGGCTGCAGGGGGGAACCGGGACTCGGCCGTGGGAGCCGGAGGGGGGCGGGCAGGGCGCAGGGCGAAAGGCGTAGAGGTTTTTTCCTGATCTGATCTCGCTTAAGAGAAGATGAATGCGGAAAGGTTCTTTTTATCCCCTGTGCAGTAGGACGGTTGGTGTCCTTTACCGGTCAAACTCTTGAAAGCAAGCCACAAGTGGAAGCAACCGATGCTTTTGTCATTCAGTTGACTCCTTGCTGCCAGTCCGCACAGACAGAAGAAAAAGTCCCTCCTTGCCTAGGAGCTCTTGTCTTAAAAGACGAATACGAGTTAGCAGGCTCGTGGGAGCCGGAGGAGGGGGGCAGGGCTAGCCCGGCCGGCCATGGGCTAGTAAGGGTTGGGCTGAGCTGAACATTTTGTAACCCGTATAAAATATGAACTGGTCCGGCCCGTCTCATATTTTTTCAGCCCACAAGGGCTAGGGCCGGGTTGGGCCAGGCCAGCCCATATTGACAGGTCTAGTGAGAAGCCCAAGGAGGCTTCATCTATTAGATAGAAAAACCATTTCTTTTCTACAGTTGACTAATTAAATGGTCCTTTTGCAAATTGTCTAATCAAATGGGTTATCTTTGTGATGTACTGTAGCATATATCACCGCAAGGAGTACCAAAACAGTCACCTCTTCTAACAGACTATCCATGGAGTCCAAGATGGGAAGCATCACAGATGGCTGAGCGGATATAGTGAGTTCTGTTACTGTCTTTGTAGTTCTCAATCAGTTTCCTGTGTTTTTGCTAATGTGGATTGATTTCTTCAGTGATTTCTTGGTGGACGAGTCTCTGAACTTCAAACGGTTCTGTAATGAGTCTCAATCTCAACACCAGTAAGATACGAGGATGTTAAAGTTCCATCTGGGTTATGCTTTACTCATCCAAGTGGTGTAAAAATGCTTAATGAAACATTTGGGTAGTTTTCTTTTATACAATCCAGAAATATGGTGCCATTATGGGTTGTGATGCTTAAAAGCCATTTGATTTGTAGAAAGGAAATGCAAAGTTTGTTTTTTACAATGCTTATTTCGCCCTTTTGTACCCAAAAAGAAAAGTTTTTATATATGTTTCTGTTCCTGATGTGTATTATGCTTGAAGAACTTTCGTGTTAGCAAAAATGATAGCAATCGGCAAAACCATCAAAGCTAAATGGATAGCAGATGGAGTTCTTATCTGGTGATTTCAACTATAAAAGTTGGGGTTTGAAGGCATATGGGCTGAACTTATGGGGTCTTCCTAACTGGGCCATGGTCAGAAAACTGTTTAGCAGAAACAAAACAAAAACTCAGAAAATAATTGAGAATATTAGATTAATTGCTCAAGAAATAACCAAAACACAAAAGCCTTGTTTCTACATTTACGAAGCTCTCCGCGTGACTGGTTATCTTGAAATTTATATGCTTGACACCATTAACCTCAATAAAACTAGGCAGCCCGGTTTTCTTGATCTTGAGCTTTCTAAAGGTTGCTCTATTTGAATGGAAAGGAACGAGCAAGTAATCCTGCGATGGCGTATCGGCGACCAGCAACATTTCACCGCTGCTAACGTTGCCCAAAGTAACAGGAAGTTTTAGCCTCTTGTGGAGACGACGAACTTCAAAACTCTGTTTAATCCATGAGGATCCGTTATCGTCATAATCTAGCCGCCACAACCCGAAGACGGACGAAGCATTGTTGTTCTGGTTGTGTCTGCATCCTAGCAAAGCCAGGCGCTCTCCAACCCTAGTCAGATTTGGTTCCACTGATATTTCCGTAGCGAGTGAAATCATTAGAAACGTTTCAGTTGCAACATCAAACCGCACCAGGGATTCTACAGCCGGAGCACTCATTCCCAGCCAATATATAAACCCATTGAGGTAAACACCTTGGCTTTTGAAAAGGTAAGGGTAAGGAGGAACATGGGCAATCTTCTGCCATGAAAAATGGCATCCCTCTGGCTTCTCATCTTCTCTCCTTGAAGGAGTGTATACCGTGTATACTTCACACTGTAGATCATAAAATTTCATACCGGCCTTTTGGATTCCCATGACATGCAAAATTTTGAATACAATGATAGAAGGATCGAATCCAAAAGCATACGCAGAATAAGACTTGTGAAAAACAGAGTCGACAGATTCATACTTCTCGGAATATTCCAAGCTTTTTGGTATAGGTTGAACGTTCCGCGTAGCCGGATTACAGACGAATAAACTTCGGCCATTGAAGAAACAAAACAAGCCCTTTACAGAATCCGATACATAGCAATGACAAGGCTTGTTAGGACCCTTGTTTCGTCCAGGTAGAGTTAGTCGATGAACTGCTGAACCTCCATAGAGGCCTACAGAGAAAAAATAGTGCTTCGGCCCATCAACGTTGGAGAAAGAAACCAACAGCGACTGCAGCCGGGCGGAGTCAGGGAGCAAGCAAAGTGCTTGTCGACAAACGAGGGATCCTCTAATATGGATTCCCATCGTTCGCACGCTGGTTAACATTCGAAAAGAGACTTCACAGGAAGTCCCGTGAGTATATCTTCCTCTACATCGTTAGGTAATGAGAAAGCTTCCAAGTTTAAGCTTCCCTTTGCTGCATTGCTCTTCTTCGTCGCTTTCCTACCTTTGTTTTTGCTCTGAACCTTCTTTCCCATGCCCTAGCTAATCCTTCCTCTCAAAAAAATATATAGAATAATTCGGAGTTTTCCATTTTTTTTTCTTTTTTCAAATAAAACAGAATCCTTTTCTATTTACTATAGCTAGGTTCACCTGACTCCGCTGGAAATTGTACTGGGCCAAAATTAAGGACTAACCCATTATTAGGCAATATTTGTGGCCCAGACCTAACATTGGGCCCATATAGGTTTGCCCAGGCCCAATTAGTCCGACAGCGGGCCAGGTAAGCTGAACAAATTTGGCTTTTCAGACACGTGGCATGTCCAATCCTATTTGTGTAACCGCAGCGTAATTGTCCAACTCACGGGGTGAAATTACAATAGAAATTCCGAAATATACGCCTAATTAATCCCACGGGGCAAAATGGAGCCTCACGGTTCACTTCACGCAGACCCCCCTCTTAACGTGCGCACCCTCCCCTGTCACTCCTTTGGGCGGTTAGTTGGTGTCCGTACCCTCTCGCTATCTCTCATGACAGACAATCCTTCCAAAATGTCCCGCTCTATATTAGTATTACCTTGTTAGCCTCTTCCCTCAACAAATCCTTTCATTTCCTTCCTTTTCCTTTCCTTTCCCCCGGAAAAGGGAAAAAAAAAAACAACTAAATCTCTGATTTCCAGTTCGTTTTACCACAAACAACCATGAGAGAAATCCTTCACGTTCAAGGAGGGCAATGCGGGAACCAAATCGGTTCCAAGTTTTGGGAAGTGATCTGTGACGAGCACGGCGTGGATCCTACCGGGAGGTACAATGGAGATGGATCGTCCGATCTCCAACTGGAGCGGATCAATGTGTATTACAATGAGGCTTCCGGTGGAAGGTATGTTCCTCGGGCGGTCCTCATGGATCTTGAACCCGGTACTATGGATAGCATCAGATCCGGTCCCTACGGCCAGATCTTTAGGCCTGATAATTTCGTGTTCGGACAATCCGGTGCCGGGAACAACTGGGCCAAAGGCCATTACACTGAAGGAGCCGAGTTGATTGATGCTGTTCTTGATGTTGTTCGTAAAGAGGCTGAGAATTGCGATTGCTTGCAAGGTAGTATCTTCACTCTGCTTTATATCCTCATCGTAATCGAAATTCAGTTTTCGGGTTTCTTCTCTCTTAGAATTTAAATTTCGCTAAATCTTCGTGGATTTTCGTGGAAATGATTCTATGCAAATATTTTTTAATGGCATTTTACTTAGTTATCTGGTGGATACGCTCGATCCATTCCAACATAATTACTCTGCTCTTTACTCTGTCACCTCAAAGTTCGAGATTCTATCCATTTGAGTTGCAATATCACTTTCCATGATAACGATAGAGAACTACTTTTTTTGTTGGTCTTTTAATTTCCCAACTTTCGGCGATGGCCACATCAAGTAGAAATAATCTCATTTTACGATTTCGATAAACTGTAAAGAGTAGCAAGATCTTGAATTCTATGATTGAATAATATTCACTGTGAATATGATATGCAAAGACTGCTTCTTTCTTCAATTATTTACTCTTTTTCTTCAGTTGGCTAGTGGTTAGTGTTTACTATTTCTTTTAATAATATATTGTCAACAATATATTGTCAAAGACACTGAGCTGTAATTAAGCAAGCTTCTTTTTGTCTGGTGTGGAGGCAATGTATAATTATCTATATAAACGGATCCTTTTTCTCTATATGATTTTTTTCCTTTCATGATTGTGAGTGCCCAACTGCATGTCGTTTTGTCCTTTATTCGACCGACAATTTTTTACTACCCTGTTTTTGTTTGCAAAAATTAACATAAACTTAGATCTTAGGGCACTCGATAAACATGTTTATAATCCATTTGGTGGAGCCTTTGGGGCCCTTGCCAGCTCAACATCATATAAATGCTGTCGTTTACAAAATTATGGCTTGCCCACATTTTAATATCTGAGTCTTGAAGAGAAATGAAAGATCTCTAAATCAGTATGGAGAGTCATAACTAACATGCAGGGATGCATGACCATGTGACTATTGTACCTATCTAAAAATAATAGCAATCACATGGTAAATTATAACATTGGCATGCGTATCAGATCTTGTTTTATGGATCTTTGAAAAAAAAAAAGGAATAGGAAAGAGAAAGCCATGTCTCTGGATCCAGATCTATCTGAAAGGACAGTTATCATCATCATCTGTGAATGGTATGACAGCAGTTAAATAGTTGGTTTGTGGCTGCTGTAATTATAGTAACAATGGTGGATTGTTGAACTAAATCACATGAAGGGAACCCCTATTCGGTTGGCTGACACCTTTGTGTCATAATATGGAGCACAATGAAAGATAATGGCTTACTTCAAAACTTTTAATATCCATTTTCCAGTATATTGTTGGTGGCTCGGGTGTTGCTGAAGTTCAGTGGTCAGCTCCTTGGAAATGAAACTTTGCCACAAGTTGATCGAAATTCATTTTGTTTTTGTTTTTGTTTTTTTAACCTTGTTTGATTCCTGGTATTTAGTAAATTGTGACGTATGGTAATCTTATCTATCTAGTGAATTCTTTTGCTTCTAGGGAATATTAGTATGAAAAGAGTGTGTTGAATTGTTTGCATTATCTTATTGGCTAGTAAATAACGGCTATTTTCCTTTTGAATTGGCTGAAGAAGCTCAATTGTTTATGTTACTTCTGGATCAGGCTTCCAGGTATGCCATTCGCTTGGAGGAGGCACGGGCTCTGGTATGGGAACTCTCCTGATATCCAAAATCAGAGAGGAATATCCAGACAGGATGATGATGACATTCTCTGTTTTCCCTTCGCCTAAAGTCTCCGACACAGTTGTGGAGCCTTATAACGCCACCCTCTCTGTGCACCAGTTGGTAGAGAATGCTGATGAATGCATGGTTCTTGACAATGAGGCCCTTTATGATATTTGCTTCCGGACTTTAAAGCTTACTACTCCAAGCTGTGAGTGATAAAACTGTTCACATCTTGATGGATGGTTTGCTGTAACATGAAACAATTTAAGATGTTGAAGCTAACGATTCACTTTTAATTTGCAGTTGGAGATCTGAACCACTTGATTTCTGCAACTATGAGTGGTGTAACATGCTGCCTGAGGTTCCCTGGACAGCTGAACTCCGACCTTAGGAAGTTAGCTGTGAACCTGATCCCATTCCCCCGTCTTCACTTCTTTATGGTTGGGTTTGCACCACTCACATCTCGTGGATCCCAGCAGTACATTTCCCTCACTGTCCCGGAGCTGACTCAGCAGATGTGGGATGCCAAGAACATGATGTGTGCTGCTGACCCCCGCCATGGTCGCTACCTAACAGCCTCAGCTATGTTCCGTGGCAAGATGAGCACCAAAGAGGTTGATGAGCAGATGATTAATGTTCAGAACAAGAATTCATCATACTTCGTGGAATGGATTCCCAACAATGTGAAGTCCAGTGTTTGTGATATTCCACCAAGGGGTCTGAGGATGTCATCTACTTTTATTGGGAACTCGACGTCAATCCAGGAGATGTTTAGGAGGGTGAGTGAGCAATTCACAGCTATGTTCCGCCGCAAGGCCTTTTTGCATTGGTACACTGGTGAGGGGATGGATGAGATGGAGTTCACAGAAGCAGAGAGCAACATGAATGACTTGGTGGCAGAGTATCAGCAATACCAGGATGCAACTGTTGAGGATGAGGGTGAGTACGAGGACGACGGATTGGAGGAGAACTATGACGGCTAAAATGTGTGGGCAATTTACCAGCGAACCAGGATGAAATTTGAGAATAGTACCCTTTACCTGCTCATATTCTACTGCGTGGCTATCGGTGTTTGTTTAATTTTCACTGCTCTCTATTTGTATTTCCCAAGATGTTGTTGTTTGCTTTTTTCCAGACATTCAAATAAAGAATTGTCAGTTTTACCTATAACACCCCGCTAATATTGGTGGCGCGGAGCATAGCAAGTTGTTACTATGTACTGCTACATCGTTATGGTCCGACTCTGAACAACCTCATGGGTCAAAAATCGATCCTCCAAGCTCCAGGTGCCCTATCTGATACTGGGTCCTTGCAGGGAAAAATGGCAACGATTTAGATATCTAACCATACATCTCAAAGAATCCTACACTCTCTCGTAAAACAAAAATCAAGAATATCAAATTTTACTGATTAAGTTGTAAGATTTTCATTCTAAAAAAAATTAATCAATCTTGATTCATGGTTACAGGTAGATTAATTTCTGATGAAACTTACCGGTGGGCTTTGGCCCAAATCCTTCCCTTCGGCTAATCGACCGATTACTTGCTGAAAACGACCAAAATCAGTTCATAGTCGGAACTCGGAAACAGCTGTCGGTACAAAGAGAGGCATGACATAACCCTACACACAGCAAGGAGATAAGTAGTGTAATTTATCATAATCTGTACACGACAAACTAATTGAACCCAAAAGAGGGGAAAAAAGAAAAAGAAGGAATGAAGAAAAAAAAAAACCATTAGACATACGCATCAGAGTCATGGAAGTATGAGGTGCAAACATCGCTCGAATTAAAATATTGGGCGAGCTTCTCATACCCAAAATGATTCTCATCATTATATAAACAGTAATAGTATTTGAGTCTGGTCCTGCTGCTCTGGTAGTGGCAACTTGCAGCCACGAGCAGGGTGTGCTTCTCAAACTCTATATGCTAATGGAGATTCCCTAGGGTTGCTAAAAGCCTGGAAGGCTTAACTTAACCAGGGTTGAAGCTTGGGGTAGAACTAGGGTTAAATATGGACGGTCAAGCGTTTCTCTCTGCAGATCAGGCGTCTTCAGGAGATTGGTTTAGAGTTATCCTTTCCTCAACCTACGCGCTTTAAAACTCTGCCGCCTACACGATCCAATTGCACTTTAAACTATCCTTTCGATTTTTTTTTGAACTATTTAACACGAAGAATGAACCTTTAAGGACATTTGGATCAATTGAGAGTAGACAAATAACCCAGACCATGGCCCAACTGGACTAGATAATGGATACGCACTGACATCTATTAGATGCTATGATCAATTTCTGGGCTGCTCATCTTTTCACCAAAATAACAACTTGTTGATAGAGCAAACCTATCATCCTTTTGATATGTCTCCCATTCACATGCTCTCTCTTGGTTTGTTCAAGCCTTAAAGATCTATCCCATCTCTTAAAAACACAAATCCAATTCCTCTTGGAAAAGGTAAAGTACAAGATAAATTAAAAAGGGGAAAAATAAGTAGATTCACCTATTAAGTAGTTATAAATAGCAGAGAGCAGTAAGTACATACAGACACCAGCCCAAAGTTCAATTTCCATACAGAGTTGACAGAATGTTTGGGAAAAAATGCAGTTGGGAGCAATGGAAAAGCAAAAATGAATGAGAAAGGGGTATATGATTTGTCCAAGTCTCAGTTCCAGTGTAAGGGTTAACTGGAAAGAGAAGGGAAAGAATGAGTAGCACAAGAAAAACAAGCAGCTGCAACTTCTTTCTGGAAATTGTTATGTCCAGTTGTGAGCTATGAAACAGGTTTTGATTCTATCCATTTCACTTTCATTTTTAACATTGGACAATACCTAAAGCTTTGGTTGAAACACAGAGAGAATTTAGGCAGCATGTAACAGGGGGCTGAAGGACCGCTGTTAGTTAGAATGGTAATAAGACTGCTCGATTCTCTCTGCGTTCTCTTTCTTTTCTCCCTCCTCTTTTGGAGAACTAAATTGTCTAACCGATTAAAGCTCGTCATAACAAAAAATGCTAAATCTGCTCCTGGGCAGGCTTTGGCATTTTGAGACCATGACAACTCTTTACCGTCATTGCAATCACTACCCTTCTGACAAATAGAACTACAACACAAACAAAAAGGTCAGTTTGATCCCTAGATTCCTTAAATTCCCCATTAAGATATATTTAAAAAAATTTAATAAATTAATAGTCTACATTGTATTAATTCCACGAATCAAAGTTAACAAGAAACCCAAAACAAGAGTTGGGGAATAAAAGAGGCCCATGAAACTTTCTCAAAGTCAAGTCTGTTTACATATCAAAATGGGTCTCTCTCTCTCTCAGAGGAGCCCACTTCAATCAGATTAATCCCATCCGAGTGCAAGCGGTCTACGCTCTCGGCGCGTGCTGCAGATTTTATATCGCACGTTTCCTTCAAGTCATCATTATCAGAGCTTTATCTCTTTCTCCAATTCAAGATTTTAGATTCCATCGTGCCTTCTTTGGCACTTTTACTGTTTACACCCAAAGCTGAAAAGATAGCTGCATAAGTAAAAACCTTGAATTGAATAATCTTCGAAGATTCTGTAGCATTTATGAATATTATACCAAATCCGATAAAATCTCTTCCTAAAACTACTCTAATTTACAATTTTGATATCCCCTGTTTAATACCCTAATGCTAATGCCGCGGCAAAAAAGAAACACCAAAAAAGGAAGAAATTAAAAAAAAAAAGGGGCAAGATCATCGACAGGGGTAACGAGCTTTCCAACCAGTAGTGTGATTCTTGGACCTGCAAATCTGCATCCTTTTAAACCTTGCTTGAGCAGCTCTGGCCTTAGTTGTTGAATTCATATCAAACGATTTCGAAGGGCAAAACCCGAAAGCTTCCTCTGCGGAAACGTTGAGATCAAGGAGACCAAGTGGGACCATGCTATCATGCTCATGCACCTTGCTTAGTCCGTTGTTTGATGGTAACCAGGATATCATTCGACCGTATGGGTACTGAGAATTCTTGTTTGTTTCTGATATGGAAACCGCTTGATCCACGGTGAACGGTGGTTGATAGACCATGGTGGAGATTCGCTGTTGTTGATGATCTTCACAGTTTGCAGTCTCCATGGAAATTTGGGTTGATTGTGTCGCAAGATTCAAGCTTTTACTTGAATCCGAATGTGACTCTTTGGCATTGCAAAGACTAAGACTTAACTGTTCATAAATAATAGATATTAGAAAAATCATGACCCCACCTCATCAACAAGCAAACTGAAAAAGATTAAAAAAGAAAAAAGAAAAATTACCTCTTGCTTCTTCAATTTCAACTCCAAGTTCTTAGCTTTCTGCTGATCAAGAAACAGCCTCTTACTCTCAATATCCTGTTTGAATTCCGCATAATCATACATTAATACAAGATAAATGTTTCAGGTTTAAAAAATCATAGGGTAAAAAATTGAATAAAAGACTAAGTAGAAGAAGAAGATAATGTGGTAATATCCAAGAAAAGGACAAATTGATTAATGCCAGAAGGAAAAGAAGAAATTAAAATAAAAACTCACCTTTTTCAGCAACTGGTTGCGCTGAGTAAGGTCTTCCACCATCTCCAACAATTGCTCTTTCTTCTGTTTGATTGTTACCCAAAAACCAGAAACGACCCGAATCAGTAAACAGAGCACACGTGGAAAGAGAGAACAAAGAAGCAGAAAGAAAAGAAACTTAAAAACGAAAAAAAGCAAGAAACTTATTGACAAGTGATGACCCAAGAGAAAAACAAGTACCCTTTTAAGACTATTAACAGAGGCTTTCTTCTTGGAAGGCAGAGGCTTCTCATCAGATTCACTTGGAGAAAAGGAAAGAGGCGTAGCGGGACTTGAAGTCAAGAGCTTTTCTTTGGGTCTCTCAGTCTCATAGGTAGGGCCAACGACTTTAGACGGAAGTGGCGGCGCTGGCGATGGTGATAGTTCCACAGCAGGCAAACATGCGGCGGCGAACTCTTCTTTCGAAGCAGCAGATCTCCTCCTCTTAGCGCCCCACTTGAAAGTAAAGCGAGGGCGTGACTCAGATTCAAGGATTAGACGGGGCAGCTCCCGCAAAATTTCGACAACCTCAATCTCTTCAGCAGTGACAGGGCTGTTCCAGCTCTGTTCCATTGTTTGCCGGAACATCTCTTTCCCCGATAATCAGAAAAAAAAAACAAGAAAGAAAGAAAGGAAAAGCTCTGTTACTTAAACCGCTCTAAATCTCCATGGGAGAATTGAAACAGAGAGCGAGCGAGAGAGAGAGAGAGGAGGGGGGGAAGATAACGAGTTGCTTGGAGACGGGGTTCAGGTTGCAAGGGAAAAATAAATAAGAAATCCATGGCGAGGGTGTGGGAGGTGACACGTGTCATGCCAAGCGGGGTTGAGGTTGGTCTAGGGTTTATGGTCTTTTTCCGCTATTTGATCGGTTGAGTTATAAGGCACTTCATAGAGTTTTTAGAGCATGTTCGTGTTCCTCCACTGTTATACAACAATCGCATGACTTTAAAAATTAGTGCACGCTCTGCCAAGGGGCGTGTTCCTTAAACTCCCCTCATTTTTGGGAAAAATATTTTTTTAATGAATATTTGGAAAATAGCATTTGTCAGTACAACAAGTATTTTTTGTTTTTTCTTTTCAGCATGAAATGTATTAAAATTTTTTATTTAATACTTATGCCTTCCTTCTTTTTTTTTGTCTCTTTACAGAAATTAAGATAAAAATCAATTTTGATATATTTTATATTAAATTTTGAAAAAAATAATATAAAAAATAAAAATATTCATGAAAAACAACTTTTTAATACTAAAAAATATGAATATTAAGTGTTTTAAAAATTATTTTGAAACATTCATAAAAAACGTACGAAAGGAGTAACATATAAACAAACTTACGAAGGACTAGTGATACACGACAATTCATGAATTTGTGACTATAATTTACAATAGTTAATGAATATTTTCTACCATGAATGTTGCATAGAAGAAAATAGAAGTTGAGTTAAAACCTTGCGTTCAATCATGTTATTGCCAATATAGTACTAGTAGACATTAATAATCTAAACTTCGACATTTCAGCCAGAGCACAGAAATGTAATTGTAGTTTATGTCAAATTATAAGATTCTGAGATTTTCAAACCTTGACATTTATTTTATTTTTTAATTCATCTTGACCTAAGCTTAGTTTTTATTTTTGCTTGAATTTTGCAAGCTTAATTAAATCATTCTTGACGTAGTCCTTATTAGGCAACAGGGTAATTAGCTACATTTAGATTAAGTACTTCCTGTTCGATATTCAGATCAAACATGACTGCAGAGAACCAGTTCTTTTTTTGGTAAAAATCTTGAATGGGACTCTGTTTCTTTGCAGAATGGCATATGTTTCCATCAATCAGGGGCCAGTTCTTGATCTGCCCCATGGTTCTGTCAATGGAAATGCCTCTCCAGAAGCAGCTATGGGGTGCACCTAATCTTTCATAAGAAACCAAACGTTTCTTATTATCGCTGCCTAAGCAAAGAATGGAACTTGCATGTTTATTCAATGTCCATGCAACACTAGAAGGATCATTATGGGACCAAAGATGACTCATGATGGGTTGTCATCTGGTCGAGATGAGGCTACCTTCCCGATTCCAATTGTTGCTTTCATGGAAAGATTATCACCCTCCATCGGGTTTTGCATTTTAACAAAGAACAAAAGCATTTGCATCAAACCTCATACTAACAACACGAGGGGAAAAGAAAGAAGTTGCTCAAGAAGGTAAAAGTACCATGCATTTGGTCGGCTTTCAGCTGCAAATTGAGAGCTTTGTGCCTTTTCCACAGTTTTTTTTTTCTTTTATGTATAGAAGATCCCCATTTGAAGAGGCATCTGCCTGAGGAGCAACACTAGTAACTGTTGGTTGACTTCTCAGATTCAAAAGTGGGCCTAACTCGGGTCATTCTGGATTAAAGGCCTTCAGGTTGATGTACACTCTTGGTCCAGAGTCCTAATTCCCTTATGCAAGCACAAAGAAGTTCTACAGACAAAAAACAAACAAAAAAGAGAGATTCTGAACAATTCCACTCGTCAATTGAATGTTTACTTAATAATGCAACAATCGTTTAACATCAGTTCAATCAGGCCAGGATTGAATTAGTATTGGCACAGCAAATCAAATAAAGATGTAATGAGTTAGGTACTGAAACAGAAGAAACTAGAACTTATCAGTTACATTGAAGAACATATATTTATTTTGCTCTCTGTTTCTTCATTTTACTGGCCAGAACATCCTCAAAGTCATCATCAGAGCTTTCTTCAGCCTTCCGTTTCTTTGTCTGCTTTGAAGAAACAGTGGAGATTGGAGGAGTTTTCTTAACAGTGACAGATTTTGTGCTACTCTTTACAGCTGAGGCAGCCTTCATTGGGGAACTCAGCTTTTGCTGCTGATTCCTATTTTGTTTCTTCTCAAAGACTTTCTTTGCTTCCTCTAATGGGAGCAGACCAGACTCCATCATCCTGCAATTACATAGGAATGCAAGTTTCTCTATAATCACAATCTTCAAAACAGAAATAAACAAAATATATGTGTTCCAAGAATGAATCAAATCAGTTACACAGCAAAACTAAGTCAAAGGAAGGATTTGTTTGGTAAAATAAGTTGAATCAAGTCAATTTGTACCATACCAATGCATCGATTTAAAGGAATGGGAATAGAAAGACAGGACAATGATTAAAAGTAAAAATTAAGAGAAGAAAAATCACCATCATCAACAATGAAGCAACATGTCGCAGTATTATTCTTCCCATCTAATTTGGAGAGGACTCTTATTCATTTGAGGATATAGGAAAGGCATTGAATTGGAAAGCAAAACATGGGCTTGGGGATCAGTGGGTTCTGACACTCTGCATGTGATTATTTGGAAGAAAACTTTCTTATATTGCATAAAGCAGGAATTACAGACCATTTGGCATAGTACTAGCTGTTTCGATACACTACAATTTTTTATCTTTCAGACAAACAAGGAGTTAGTTGCAACAATGTATTAAAGTTAGGGCAAGAGCACAAGGGGAAATGAGAGACAACAAATAAGCAATACTCTATGCGATAGAAAAGAAAATTCATTGCTTGTCATACAGAATGAGAAATTAAGAAAGAAGACAACATAACTATCAATACAAGCAAAGTCTACAGTTACACATTTGAAGTTGTATTACCTCCATCTGGGTAATTGTTGCATTAATTCTATGAATAAATCCGACTGATTGAGGGCTATGCAGAAACCCAAGTAACCAACCTTGACCCACCACAACTGGTCAAGACAATCCTCAACAAAGTAATGTCTATTTCATGTTTATCTTATCACAGAAGTGTCCTGTTCTCTATTTATTCTGGTTTATAGATGACCTTTGCGTTTGAGAACTTTATTAAATTTGCTTATTCTCCAGCCTGAGCTGCGCTAGTCTTTGTTAAGGCAATCCAAAGGTATAACTATTACAGCATTCAAGCACATCTCTCCTCATTGAAAGTAGCAAATGTAGCTTATAGTTCTCAAAAGTATGAGATTTAGAGAGGACAGCTGATGAAGATTACTACTTATAAACATTATCCTTCTCTCTATCTGGCACACATTCTGCTAAACAAGCAGAAACAGAACTACAACAGAACATGCAAATGAAGGTACTGTTGGGGAATTATGTCTTACCAGAATTGTGCCATTTCGCTATGGGGAATTTGCTTATACATTGTCTCATAAAAAATCCTCAGTGGATCCCTCTGAAAATTGTAGAATGCACCAATAATATATTACTCAAAAATGGGAAAATTAGATCACAGAAAGTAAAAGACAATTTGAATTCCAAGTACCTCCTCTGGAGGATCTCTCTTCTGACCAGGCAAATTATAAACCTTCCTCTCCCGCTTCCCTTCGTTCCCAGCTGCCACTTTCTTCTCTTCCCCCTTTTTCTTCTTTTTCTTCTGCTCCTTTTCCTTCAAAATTCGCAACAGATATAAAGATAAAACACATTAATCAAATGCCCATTTTTTATCCCTCAGAAGCGAAAATTTATCCTTTTTCCCGCAAAAACCAAACAGAAAAAAAAGAAAAGTCTTTTTCGACAAAGAGAAAGCTAAAAATAAAAAAAAAAAACCTTATCTGGTTTAGTAGCGGAGCTTCTTTTGGAGAAGGGTTTTTCATCAGCAGCATCACTCTCTTCCTTTTTGAGCTTGGTTGCTTTGGGTCGTGACCCAGATGAAGAATCCTTAATGGGTACTTTAAAATCTTCATTTTTATGATGTTCATCATCATCATCTCTGGGCTCTTCTTTCTTCGCTTTGCCTTCTTTGGGACGAAATTTCGAATTAGAAACAACAGCATTATTATTATTACTCGAGGGTTTCTTCCTACGGTTCTCCAGCATCGAACTCAAGCTTCTCATGTCCGATTCATCATCTTCAGGTTCCTCTTTTCTCACTGATTTTGAATCCTCGGATGGCATCCTTAATCTTCCAGAAATCAGAAGTTTCGCTCCTTATCTCCAAAGAAAATAGAGGGAAAAAATGGATTCTGATTTCTGAAGGAAAACCCCTTGCGAGCTGCTTCGTGGGTTCTAGTTTTCCAACTTTAAAAAATGGGGGAAAAGCGCACCGTTTTTAGGCCCTTCAAGGTTCGAGCTTGAGCCCTAACCAAACAAAGCACGACACAAGATCTAAAAAACGCCGTCGTTTTAACAAGTGAAGGCTCAAACGTTTATCCGGTTTCGCCGCGTGGCCAGCCCGTCATCTGGAAAAATTATGCCAAGCAAAAAACGGCGCGTCGCTTGTATTAACATGAAACGGAAAAGTACGGGCTTTTTCTTTAGTAATGAAAGTAGAACCGAAAATCATGTACGAAAACTCCCCTCTACGATTTGCATGAATCCATGAAGAATAAATTCTTTTTCTCTGTACATTTTCCCCATTATTTTTTTAATTCTTTTTTAATATGAATTTGGTATCAATCTTAGTGGGCATGAGTTCTAAAAGAAAGGTCGGTTGGGGATAGAATCTAAAGCCTCAGAATTTATGCCAAAGGAAAGACAAAAAAAGGCTCAAAAGTCTCCTCCCACTTTTGGTTCCTTAATTTATATACACACATCTCATCTCTTCTGATGAATGTAGCAAAAGAAGCCCAAAGAAACAAAGGGTAGAAACAGAGTGATGGGTTGGTTTTTCAAGGAAAGAGGTCCTGGGTGGAAACAAGGTTGGACTGAGCAAGCGATAACCTCCATATCTCCTCCTCCTTTGCCTCTTCTTTCCATATTTGGAATCATATGTCTTCTTCTGTTGGTTTCTTCTTATGTGAGCTTCAAGAAAGAGATACATCATTCAATGCTTAATCTGAAGTTGTTCTTCTTGTTCTTGCCTGTGGTCTTGATCTTTGCTGCCCAGTTTGTCAGTAAGTGTGAAAGGTTCGTGATTCCTTATGCAAGGACGAAGAGGGAGTTGGAGTATAGGACGAGGAACTTGCCTTGGGGCATGGTTATTCTGCTTGTAGTTCTTCTGGTGATGGTCTCTTACCAGTCCTATTTTCATTCCATGTGGTCTCCAAATATTTGGAGATCTTACTACTAGTTTGTCGGGGTGTGGTCTAGAGAGAAGGAGAACAAGCAATTACATTGGGTTCTGTTTATCTAATCTGTGAATAATTTAAGATATGAGTTGCTGGGTTATAGTTTTCCATCCTTCTTATCATTGTAGCTATGGCAGTGTTTACTGTCCTCCCCATGGCATGGATGATATCAAAAGTTTTATAATCTTTCAAAATCACCTTGTTAATCACTTTACAGTTACAGGGCTCTCTCAATTTCAAAATTCTGAGCTTTTCCTTGATCTGACCTGTTATCAGATGGGAAGTTCAACACTTTATTCCGACTTGGTGTGTAGGAATCTGATATGGCCCAAATTTAAGCGCTTTACCTTCTTTACCAGCATAATAGCATCCACCACGCTTGAAAAAAAGATGTTCAGACTGATATGACAAATCGGAAACACTAAAATTCATTAATAATTAGCGTTGTACAATTAAAAGTTGGTCAAAATTACAGAGATGTTTGCTTCAGGATATTGGATTAATATACATAGAGGCAATATTACATGAGCTGCCATGATTGCAGCTCAATAAAATAAAAATACATGAAGAGTGAACTCAGAAGGCAAGTCATCTTGTCTTGGGAGAGGAGGCTTTCAATCTGGGAACTTTAAATGTAGAAGTGAACAATTTTGGAGTTTCAGAAATGGGTATAACATCATCCTTTTTTCTCTTTGAGCTTCTGCTTCCCTGAACAACATAAGAAGATAAAATTTGGTTAGTTACTGGATCTCACACTAGAACAAACAGCAGTATCTGCTATTGACAAATCAAAATAACTTCGGCCAGTAAGCAAATATATCAGCAAATGTACAGCCTTCTCGTTTTGTTGCAGAGATAAATGTAATTGAGAACCGTAACTTCCTCAGCACAGATTACTTAAGGCCTTGTTATAGCAATTTGTTATAACCCTACAACAATTATTCAAGGACATTTTGAGGTCCTTGAGGCAGGATGAAATAGGAAGAATGACTGTTTAGAGTCTTAGACTTCTGCCTCATAGAGCGTGCCACTCAAAACAAAGGACAGTAAATCTTTATACCAGAAAACTACAGAGTGCATTAAACTAAACCATACTAACTACAATCATGAACTGAAAGAAGTCATGCCAGAGAAATATTATTCCACGTTTAAGCTAAGTTGATTAAAAAGTACCTTTCCACTGTCCTTCAGAAGATCGGGAACATTAGAAGCAGAGGTTTCTTTCTTCACAATAACATTGCCTCCATCCCTGCCACCATGCTTACCTCCCAGAACAGAAGTTCTCCCGCCTGCAGAGCAACGCTTTATGACAGGAGTACAAGAAGCACTTCTGGACTTTCTCAACAACTCGACCTCCCTAGATTTTTTAGCAACTTCATGGAATTTACTCGCATCAGCCTCCTTCTGAGACACTTCGGCTTTTAATCTCTCAATTATTGCATCCTTTTCAGCATTAGATGAATTCAGCTCCTCCATGTTGGAAATAAGTGCCTCAATCTTCTGGTTAGCTTTTTCAAGTTCAGAATCCTTGCTGTTTAATTTATCCGTATACTGACTTTCCAGAACATTGAATTGATTCCATGCAAACTTATTCTCTGCCAAAAGTGCAGTTATTTGAGAGTTCTTCTCTGAAGCAAGATTTTCATACTTAAGCTTTAGCCTTCTTACATCGCCTTCCAATGTCCTCACAGTAACAGACTTTGAACCACTACCCTTACATCCTGACATTCCTCTTTTAGTTTCTTCATGGTCCCTTTGAGAAATATCCTGCAAATAATGAAATAATTAGAAGCTTAGAAATTACATATATATAAAATATGAAAAGGAGAAAAGTCAATCAAACATACTTTTGAATTTTGACTGAGGATGTCAAACCAGACTCTGAAATCAGTCAATTCGTCCTCTGTTTCCTCTACAATAAGCCAATTAAGCAAATACACACATCAGAACATTACTAAATTACATATAAATATCAATTTCTGATTGGTGTACTCAAAACAAATATTAAGCCAACATAAAAGAATCCCCATCCAAACTGCACAACCACCAGTCATCATAGAAAAAAAAAAGGAATTGAACCAAATATGAAGGGGAAAACGCAAACCTAATTTCAATTTGCAAAGATAAGTCTCTCTATGCTTCAATCCTACCATCAAATCGGCTTTTGCAGCCTCAAGCGCACGCGCCATCTCTTTCGATGCCAAATCACTCTTCACCTACACAACAAAACACAACCAAAAACCCAATATTACCCCTCCAATTAAGGTGAACGAAAGCACCAACGAAAACCCTAAATTTAACCAAAAACCCTCAAACCCCTAAATTCAAAAACTTTACCTGAGAGATGTGATCTTCGTAGAGGCGAACATCAGAGACCCACCGTTCATACTGCATCTTGATCCGATCTTCGAGAATCTTTCTCTCTTTCGCCAGTGTTTCAAGCTGCTCTTGCTGGGTTTTTAGCATCTCAACTAAACCCTCAAAGATTTTATCCCAATTTTGACGTTCTGATGAGACTTGAGACCGCGTTTTCGCGCCCATTGTGGAATCGCAACAGCAGAATCAAAATGATAAGAAGAAAATATGATGATGAAGAAGAATTGTCACGTTTTCGTTCTTCGGTGTTTGAGAGCAAACGTTGAAGGTAGAATCGTTGCAATTCGAAAAGGGGGTTCAACGGTCGATTTTTGGCGTACATAAAGCGAAATTGATAGGGGTTATACTAACTTGCGCCGCTGACGTACAAATACCGTTTCTTTTTGGCAGTTTTGCGCTCAGTTGGGTTCTTTATGTGAAGTATTGGGCATTTATGAATCGCCACGTCGGCACGGCCCAAATTATTTTGGGTCAATTCGGCCCAAAGTTTATGACCCGATCTTCCAAAGTAAAAGCTAGAGGAAAAGAAAAACAAAATAATGAAAATAAGTATTATCAATCAAGTAATTAAACATGCAAATAATTTTTACTATTTTTCATGCGGAAAATGGCTCAAACATGTTAACATGTACAATGGGAGGAAAAATATTTTCTTTAAACTTTCTTTTGAGACTTGATAAAGCTCCTGGCTATCAACATTTTTGGGCTGAGCGTAACCTACCCAAAAGAATCTAGCAATCTTTTATGATTAAATCTTATACGAAAATTGATATGGGAAATGGGAAATGCTATCTGTAAACATTGCCAATGGCTTGCAGCGGTGAATCTCATGTCTTGACAAACAAAAAAGGCCAGTTTGCCTAGTAATGAAATATCCAGGGTCCCAACAAGCGTGGTTCCCATCAATTTGGAGGCGATGGTCCTATGAAAATGATGGACTCACTTTCTCGAATGCCAAAACTTGGCTGAAAGAGACCATAAATCTATTACTATATATAGTAATCTATCTAAAGCATACCTTCCAAATCTGTAAATGCTGCCAACGTCGTTTCTAACAAGGAATGTGTTTCTTTTATCTCGATTTCCCCACATGCAGAACCTGCTGTTTACGGGTTAAAAACATTTTGTACTCCCTTTTTTTAAAAGGTTAATCAAGAGTTTTAATACAACAAGATTCTGGGGGGAATATCCGAAGCTTCCATCGGATCTTCCAAGATGTTTGCTTGTTCCAACCTGTCGGTCACCTTTCTGAACTCTATAGCTGAGATTCGCCAGTTCGGCCAATCAATGGAGAGTTCATAACTGGCAATAGCAGGTGGTGCTGCGGCAAGCCAATCTTGCCTGCCATCACGTTTATAGCAAGCGAGGCATGTTAGACGCATGTTCGTTTCGTTTCGCTGATGCGTACGAAGTGGTGGGGGCTAGTGTTCCTGCACTTCCGAGGTCTAACATTCGCTTATATGTTCTATAATCTCAAGGCCGTTGCATTGGGGTGTTTTGCTTTTCTTATGTCACCCCCAATAAGCTTCATACATTGATCTCAGCTAGTGAGCATTGTTTTCTTCTTTTTCCTAGACAAAAACTTGCATAGTTCTGAATAATTTTTCTTCATTCTGATTGTAAAAGACCATTTGTTCTGCATAACGTCATTCTGTTTTAGATCAAGAATGTGTCCACTAGGCATCGATGTCTCTCAAAATGGAAATGTCAAGACGTTGGAGTCAGCGGGAACCATTTTTGAGATTGAAGATTCTGATATCCTCAGGATTTCGGAAAGACCCAGAGCTATAAATGTAGAGAGGAATAGATCCTTTGAGGAAAGGCCTTCAAGTGAATTGTCAATTACCTCACCCCGTCATTCGCTCAAAATATTAGCAGACCACCTTGAAGGTCTATCTCCGCATGGTAGAAGGTCTGGGTTTAACACACCTAGATCATATACCTACTTTGAGGCTCATGCCATGGTAGCTGAGGCATGGGAGAATTTGAGGCGCTCCATTGTTTTCTACCGCAGACAGCCAGTTGGTACTATTGCCGCAATAGACCATTCTGTCGAAGAGCTTAATTATGATCAGGTTAATCCCCATTCCATTGATCAAACATAGTTTCAGGAAATCGAGCAGAACTGTATAGTTCATTTTATTACTGATATGCTTTGCAGGTTTTTGTCAGAGATTTTGTTCCAAGTGCCTTGGCGTTTTTGATGAACGGGGAGGAAGAAATAGTCAAGAATTTTCTTTTGAAAACTCTTCACTTACAGTCATGGGAGAAAAGGATAGACCGGTTCAAGCTAGGAGAGGGAGTGATGCCAGCAAGTTTCAAAGTAATCCACAATCCGGTAAGGAACAGTGAAATCTTAATCGCAGACTTTGGTGAAAGCGCAATAGGGAGAGTTGCTCCGGTTGATTCGGGATTTTGGTGGATTATTTTGCTTCGTGCATATACAAAGCATACAGGAGATTCTTCCTTGGCCGAAATGCCTGACTGTCAAAGGGGCATGCGCCTCATTCTGAGTTTGTGTCTCTCAGAAGGCTTTGACACATTCCCGACTCTGCTCTGTTCTGATGGATGCTGCATGATTGACCGTAGAATGGTTTGTTTCTCACTCGTACTTTCCATCAGCTAGTCGTATGTTTGTCCTCGTTTCTATTTTCTTAGAATGGCTTCGACAGATATAATATGAACTCTAGCTGTACCTGTTAGCTTATGAATCATATGCCGCAATTTTTCCTGTTCATATGCTGCTATCTCTTCTTCTGTTATTGTTACATCTTACTAGTCAAGAAACTGGATTACTATGTAATTTCCATTCCTCGTGTCTTAACCCAGGGGGTATATGGTTATCCTATTGAGATTCAAGTGCTGTTCTTCATGGCGCTAAGATGTGCTTTGCTTTTACTAAAACAAGACCAGGAAGGCAAAGAATTCATGGAACGTATAGTTAAACGCCTCCATGCCTTAAGCTATCACATGAGGAGTTATTTTTGGCTGGATTTAAAGCAGCTAAATGACATATACCGCTATAAAACAGAGGAATACTCTCATACTGCAGTCAACAAGTTCAATGTGATGCCTGATTCGCTGCCAGACTGGGTGTTTGATTTCATGCCAATTCGGGGTGGTTATTTCATTGGAAATGTCAGCCCTGCAAAGATGGATTTCCGTTGGTTTTGCTTAGGAAATTGCGTGGCGATTTTGTCATCTTTGGCAACTCCAGAGCAAGCTGCAGCCATAATGGATCTTATCGAATCACGCTGGGAAGAATTGGTTGGAGAAATGCCGTTAAAAATATGTTATCCAGCTCTGGAAAGCCATGAATGGCAAATTGTCACAGGTTGCGACCCAAAGAATACCAGGTGGAGTTATCACAACGGAGGATCTTGGCCTGGTAATCAAGCTTCTTATTTGCTGTAAAAGTACTTGGTACTTTAAATTTGCTTAATATTTGCCGAAACTTTGTCCATTGCAGTCCTTCTATGGCTCCTCACAGCGGCTTGTATCAGGACTGGGCGCCCACAAATTGCCAGACGTGCCATAGAACTTGCGGAAAGCCGGTTGTCGAAAGACCACTGGCCTGAGTACTATGATGGAAAGCTTGGCCGATACATTGGGAAGCAGGCTCGTAAGTTCCAGACTTGGTCCATTGCTGGGTACTTGGTAGCCAGAATGATGCTTGAGGATCCATCTCATCTAGGTATGATATCGCTGGAGGAAGACAAACAGATGAAGCCCCTGATGAAAAGATCTACTTCCTGGACTTGTTGATGCCTGTTCTTGTCAATCCACCATCTTTTCCTACATATGTTTGCACATCAGAAATGCTTCTGTTTTTTGAGATCTCTATGTTAAGGAAAGGATCATATTAAAAATTTTCGTGGGTTGAATCGGACTTAATTCATTTATCTTAAGTCTAATTCTGAAGAAATCATATTTCATTAATAAAATGTTGTTCCTATCCTACGGACTTCGGCCTACCTAGTCCCTACTCTACAATACTAAATCTCTCCATCCATCGCCATCATCTTCCATAATCTGTGATCACGCGAACCGACAAGAGAAGCCCTGGTCGCCGCGTCTAGATACAGGGCAAACAATCACTCCTTATCACTGAAGTGAACTAATTTGATCCGTGATCTTATCTAATAAATACTGCTGACCGACCACGTGACCCTGTCATAACAACTTTAATACGTGTCAAATTGTCAGATGGGGTCTCATGATTTTTTCCTCCTGCTCCTCCTGCGTAACTCTTCTCATCTCTCCAAAGAAACAAAAATAACTATCCTTTTCTTCGCTTGAAGGGAGGCTCTCACTTTCTTCACTCTTCTCCTTACTGAAACTAACCTCAACAAACCGGAAACGTCCGGAACAGAGAAGAAGTTCGTGGGAAGAGACAATGAAGGCATCCAAGAACCCGATCCACGCGGTGTCTAGATGGATACGGCGTCAACCACCGAAGATGAAGGTGTTTTTAGCGGTTGTATCGGTGATAGCGGCACTTGTGTTCCTGAAAATGGTCGTGGAAGATCACGACAACCTCTTTGTTGCTGCCGAGACTGTTCATGCCCTGGGCACCTGTGTCCTTGTGTACAAGCTTTCCAAAGAGAAAACTTGCGCTGGTATCATTTCCCCCCAATGTGCTTTCGGGTTTTGAGGTGGATCCGTTGGGTTTCTTTGATTAACGTTTGCTAAATGTTGGGTGTTTTTATTTTGGCGTGTTAGTTTCATCATGCATAATTATTCTTTAGCTGGACCAATGTGCTTTTTGGCTATAAAAAAATGGAATCTTTGACTTTAATTCTGTTTCTTATCTTCTTACGTTTCCTAATCTGGATGGTTCTTGATTGGTGATGTTCCTTTAATGGAAAATTTAATTATCTGGTTCCTTTAAGGGAAATATTTTTATTTTATTGATAGTTCATTTAACTTCAATTTCTAGCTTTGACGTTTGAGTTTGTCTTACTATTCACTTCCCTGATGTTATTTATATATCTTTGCAGGTCTTTCACTTAAATCGCAGGAACTAACAGCTTTGTTTTTGGCTGTTAGACTGTATTGCAGTTTTGTCATGGAATATGACATACATACTCTACTTGATTCAGCAACATTAGGGACAACCCTTTGGGTTATTTATATGATTCGTTTTAATCTGAGGTCTAGTTACATGAGTGACAAAGACAACTTTGGAATCTACTATGTAGTAAGCCTTCATATCGGCTTTTGGATTCGGATTATTAGTATATGCTCTTTGTATTGTTGTGTTGTTTCTCCATTGTTATAAATGCGTCTTTTTGTAATGCATCATGCACCTTGCTCATTTGTTTCCTCATGTAGTGGATGCTGTGACAAGTCTGTCAACTACTTTGCTGGATAACATAGTCTCATTTATGAAAATATGAAAGTTTGGATTTCAGTTTCAGAGGGATTTACTTCTTCTTGAGTTCATATAGCTTTTAGTATGCCCTTGGTTTACCATTTAGGAGGCTGTAGATACATTGGCCATGGCAAAGTTTCCTGCCTTTTTCCCACTGGAGCTATTGACCATGTTTACCTAAAAATTTTATGTAGCTCCCCCCACCACCCACCCTACCCGCCCCCCCCCCCCCAGTTTCACCTATTCAGTGAAGATCGTAGCCATGTATTTTCTCTTGATCTAGCCCCTTAGAGTACAATAACTTGTTCTCGTAGAAAACATGTGAGACTCTGCCAAATGATTTATAGGAGTTGTTCTTTGTTTTTGTTGTGTCGCAACAAAATGTCAAAGATTTTTCTAAGATGTTTTATTAAAGAAGTGAATGAATTGACTCAAAGAGAAGAGATGATTATGCATCAAAAGAAATGGTAGAGTCAATCTGCTTTACGAATTTCCTCTGCCTTGGTGTTTACTGTTTCTCAAGTGCATTGTTAAGGCAATATCTAACACTAGTAGGCTTTTATAGTATTTCCTAATAACTTAGATATATATGCAGTTGAGCAGATGCAGTGGTACTTGCATCTTTGTTTCTTTGAGCTTTTCTTGATGTACTTTGAACTGTTTCTGTCACTAACAATTTTGGTTCTTTCCTTGATATAGGTGATACCATGTGCTGCTTTGTCGATGTTTATTCATCCATCAACAAGTCATCATTGGTTCAACAGGATTTGCTGGGCTTTCTGTGTTTACCTTGAAGCCGTTTCAGTCCTGCCTCAGCTAAGGGTCATGCAGAACACAGAGGTAATGCAGCAACTGATTAACACTTGTCTGTTCTCTTAATTGGATAGTTTACCCTTAACTTATATGCAGCTTATGTGAAGCACTGTTACCTTGAAGCAAATGCTCTTTTGGATGTATCACCTTTCTTTTTGGCCCTTTTTCAGATAGTTGAACCATTTACAGCACATTATGTGTTTGCACTGGGAGTTGCAAGGTTCTTGAGTTGTGCACATTGGGTCATCCAGGTATTTACAGTAATTATTGCTAGGACACCTATCAGAGGATTTGACACCTGATTTATATCATGTCTAGGACACTTGCATGCTTAGAATTCGTACTGATTCATTGACATTGATATCATGTAGAAGGGACGTGCTCTGATACCTTTCATGGTTTATCTATGCAGAAGTAAATTAATAATTATTATCTTGACATCAATGTATTTTAGGTCACATTGGGGATTTAATTCACAGATATCCTCCTGTTGTGGTTTTATTCTAACGCTAGACAATGGTTCTAGAAGGATTGGTTTTCTTTGTTTCATCTAAATGTATGTGTTCGCTTACCTAGGTATTCGACACTCAAGGACGCTTATTGACAGCTTTGGGCTATGGATTATGGCCTTTTATGGTCCTGCTTTCTGAGATTGTCCAGACTTCCATTTTGGCAGATTTTTGCTACTATTATGTCAGGAGGTGGGTGCTTTGTATAAGTTTTGCAACATGCCTTAAAAATGTTAGATCTCTTGATATTTATTAAGAAGTTTCATTTCCCCCTTTTTACAGTCTCGTCGGTGGACAACTTGTTGTACGACTCCCCTCTGGTGTGGTGTAAACTTAAGTAGGTTAACCGTGCAGCTACGACATTGGGGGCATTGGCTGCTTTTAAAGATCGTTGTTGGGCATTAGGATAATTTGTGCACTTTGTCTCTCTTCTTCAGTAACTAATGTAATGATAGCAGGCCGACTGTAAAAGTTTAGGATGAGTTACATGTACCAAAGTACATAATGCATTATAATAATATCACTAAATTAACTAGTAGTATCAGCATTAGTGTTTGAACTTACGTTGGGGCTCTTGGTTGGTTTCCTGCTTTACCATGACGCAAGCTTACTTCTGGCATTTAGTTTTGATGATGAGAAGTCGTTAAATAGCAGTAGGTCACTGATAATTTATGTGTTGCTTAATATGGTCAAAAAAGTTTAAATCATAGCGTTCATTTAGTACCCTTTTGCCCTTAAGACTGATTCTGCTAACCTTTGATGAATAACATTTTATAAAGGTTTCCTCGTCCGGGGAAACAAAGTCCGTGGACTGCACGGGCTAAGCATCTTGATTTTCTGCAATATTTGAAGATGTACCCATTTCCCAAGCATTCGTGTCGATGCCCACAGAAGGGTGATTGGGTAGACAGCTAAACTCCATTGATGCAGATTCAACCTGTAAAGGGTTGCTAAAAGGGCAGAGTTAGGAGCATCGGCCTCTGCTCCTGTAAAGGCCTCTGAGGTACATTGTCCATTAATATCCAACGAATATTACAACAGATACCAAACCAATATTTATCAATGCTAGTGGTGAGCAGGAAATAACAGGGTTTTGATTTTCTTTTAAACAAAAGCCAGGCCAAAAGCATTAAGATTTTGAAAAGGCATTGTTTTGTTTGTTCTTCTTTTCCCTGGAAATGATGATACTATTCCCACTGCGTGGCTGTTTAAGAAAACGAAAGCAGGATGCCTATTTAAATAAAAACGTGGCACTGCAAGCTGGAACTCATAAATGTTCATGATTTTGGTTCCTCCAGCCAGCTGTACAATATTCTTATCCTGGAACTTTCTCTTGTCCCGAGACCCAACTAGGGTTGGTTCCAAAAAGTCCAACGAAGACGAGAGACGACAATGATTTTTCATTCGTGTGTGTTTCGGAACCAAGGACCCCGAGGGCTTACCAAAGCTAGACCTCGGTTAAGTCCTTTCCGTACGTTTAATAAGTTTTTAATTAAAACCTACAAAAGAGTTTTGACTTGCCTCTGTGCACAAGTACACCAAGCTAGCCACTCCAAAGCTGATAGGTTGGTAAACTGTGAGCAATCAAAAACAACCCACAGCTTTTTGTCTTGTACCACTAGCATTAGGACTTTCGCTGGCCCGATTGCGTTTTTTTCAAACTAGTATTTCTGTGCAGCAGATTAGATAGTGGGAAATGGGGCATGGGAATCGAAATTATTAGGTGTTTGGTAGTAGTTAAACAATGCTAAATGCTTAAAGATAAGACTAACTTTAATACTGCTAAAACAGGGGCATGATTATTAACATTTGAGGACAAACTCTAGAGCCTAAAGCCTTGCTTTTCTTTTGTTTTTGTTGCAAGAATTCAGTGAATTCAAACCCTTCCAAACTGCTGAAACGTTGGATAAGTATCAACCACCTTAGCAATAGATTCATTAGCAGGGTACAGCTGTAGTGGGAGGAGATTTCAATACAGCTGTCAAGTTAAATCAGGCTGGGTTTTTTGAGTCATGACTCATGAACGTTTGCATAAGTGTCAAACTTCCATCTTTTTCCTACTAAAAACTTGCATAATGGGCCATTAGTCGGTTTTTTCCATAATTTTCGATGCTCCCAAATCTAGCACTTTCAGATATAAGTGCAAGAGTGGGACATCGAGAGAATTGTAAGCTAGTTATGATTGGCACTATTTCTCAGTTTTCACTTTCAATTTTGGTTTTGGGGTAGTAACATCGAACTCCTTTCTTTCCCTTACGGTCTGACAGAAAAAACGAAAGACTTCGAAACATTGGAACCAGAATGAAAAAAAAAAAAAATCAGACATTGAAGCTACAGGAACCATTGGTTTTAATTAAAGAAATTTACAATGCCATTAGTCCAAAAAAACTGAAGTGATTTTTCTGACAAGACATGGATTTAAAACCTGACACAAAAGAGAAACTTCTTTTTCTAAGAAAAAAAAAGGGGAAAAAACAACCAAAAATATGGTTTTCATGGAGGCAGGCCATCTTTGATTCCACCGGCCTACTATTAGCTGGCGAGGAGGTGGTTGAATTATTCATATATTTAAGTTCTAAAACAAAGTCTGCTTTACTTCCTATGCCTCTAATAATGCAATTCTTTAACAAATATTTGCATATGCCATTTCCCCCTGTTTGGTCTTGTAACATAGCCTGGTCCTCTGGTCTTGTGAAACTAGACTCATATTAGGCAGCAAACATAATTAATGTATAACTATTAGGTTAATGAGAAAGAAATATGCCAATCATACAACGAGGATTTCCTAAAGTTTGGTTCACTGAAGTCTTGTCCAATTCAGAGAAATGAGAGCAATCTATAGTTTCACAGGATGTTGATAGGTAACCTCACCGACTTGAAGAATTAATGATAATAAAATGCATGCATCTACACCTGTAGGAATGGTGAGCTGACTGATTAGAAGTTCTGTATATTGACAGAGTTCCTGATTATCCATAATGGTTGAAAAGACACTCACTCTCTTGTTTCCATCATGGGAAATTGAATCATCTCTTACCATTGAATTGCCATCTTCATCGGGCCAACATCAAAGATGTTTACAGTCAGATAAAATGGACCTCAATTCCCAATGAGTACTGATTCAGTTCAAGTCTGCTTTAATTGATGGAAAGGAAGTCATGACTCATACTTCCATTCCATTATAGTAAAATTTTTTTTGTTTGTAACAGTTCTTGAATCATTACCCAGATTTTAGATTATCGAAAAAATCCAAGTTTTGATGTCTATTTTCTTAACCCCCGCAGAAAAAGATAGTAAGAAATGTAGAAGCCACTTGGGGGAGCCCCTACTAGATAAATAAAGCACACCATCCATCATAAACAATGGGAAATTTGCTTTGCTCCAGATCATTCCAAAGGGGCTTTTCCTCCACCAGATATTCCTGACCAGTCACCATTGAATATTTCTTTTTTCTTTTTATCTCTCCGCTCTTCCGTGTACTTGCCATCAGAATGTTTCGTATGTTAGCATGAGCCTAACCCATTTTAATTTACGACTACTACGTCACTTCTTTTTATCTATCCATAACTTTTTTTGCTATAAATACGGGCAGCTCTCTCTTATTTTCCATACAGAACACTAAGCCAGAGACACAAAAGCAAAGCTGTATTTGTAAGTAATTCTCAGGCCATGGCCATGTCTAAGGCTTTTATTGCCTCACTTCTCGTCTCTCTTCTCCTTATTCAACTCGTTGAAGCTGATCAACTGGTAAAACCTTGATCAGTTTTGATCATCATTAACCTCTTTTGTTTTCGCTTCCTTTTCTTTCCCGAATGGTTCACACGATGAACATTTTCTATTATTGCTATTTGCTAGTAACTTAAGCTACATGTTCTTGTGAAATATAGGTGACGGATACAGGCAAGGAAACAAGTCCCCCAGAAAAAATTGGTAAAAATTTTCATCATATTGAAAGGAAAACTGTGTGAACTTTTCAGGTAAAGAAAACCCTTCTTGATATGCTATTTCTTTTTGGTTGACAGACTGCGGTGGAGCTTGCGCAGCCAGGTGCCGATTAGCCTCTAGGCAAAACATGTGCAAGAGGGCATGCGGGACATGTTGCGCACGCTGCAACTGTGTTCCTCCGGGCACTGCCGGTAACCAAGAAATGTGCCCCTGCTATGCTAGCTTGACTACCCACGGTGGCAGACGCAAGTGCCCTTGAGTGCATCAAACGAATCCTCTCTCTGCCTCCTTTGACCATTATCATCATAAATCAACGTATGAGCTGTGGTAAAACTAAATTAATGGAGTTTTATGAAGGTGTACGGATAAATAAAAGAATGCCCTATGTAAAGCAAAAGTCATTTACGCAAATGACTTGTTTTTCATTTTCTTTTCTTTTTGGCCATATCGATATGATTAATGATTTCTTATATTGAGTGTGAAATAATAATGAAGTTTGTAATCCTCTTTTCTCTAATTTATGCTAGTATTTTTTATTGATTGGTTGAATGATTGTAATCATTCAAGTTCTTTTATCTTTGGATTCGGAATGATCACTAAACCATTACTGACTTGTGTAAGTCATTAATTGAGAACCTGATTAGTTAAGTCATTGATTGTTTAATTTTGTTTTCCTGAAGAAAAAAATTGAGAACCTGGAATAGCATCACGGACCCACCCCTTAGGTAGAACAAGCTTGTTGGCCCAAAATCCTGGTTATCAGGCCTCTCCTGGGAGCTATGGGGCTGGGTAGACTCCGCCGCTAAGTGGGTCTATTGGAAGATCGAAACTTGAAAAGAGGCCATCAAGGCATTAACGTGTCGAAGAAAAAGGCACTTTCGAGGCTCGTCTATGCTTTTCCCATGTTTGAAGAGACTTTTCTCGAATCACAGACAACTGCTTTAAGCAGCCGTGAAAGCAAAGCAAAACTGAACCTGAAAAACGCTCTGCTAACATCCATCTCCTTCCCTCCTCCTCTTATTTCCTTCAAACGCTTATTGACCCCAGCCAGTAATGGGAGTTGGCACGTTGAGTTGAACCATTTTAAGCAAACAAGGCATCCCAAAACAATGAGATACTTGAACGAGTGGGAAACAACATCCATCAAGCAATTACCAAAGACCATTTATGACTCCACGTGGCTCTGTCGATGGTATTCGGAAGAAAGATGTTATCTGAAAGTTCTCTTCACATGACTTGATACCAACGAGGGAACGCGTCATGGGAATTAATTTCTGAAAACATTTAACAGAATAAACAAAAGTTGGATATTCTTAACCCATAGTTCATATGGAAATAGAATATGATATAGTATATGGATTAATGTAATTAGTATACCCTTTTTTACGTTTTTTGGAAACTTAATTACCAATCTTATTCCGTAGATAATCACTTCATGCATTTATTTGTTGGAAATTGACAAAATTGAATATATGAAATTAGGATGATAACGCCATGTCCCATCATTACTCTAGCAAGTGTACCCCATGACAGGACCATCTCCCGACTGACCCATTGGTCTGATAGACTGATACCTTTCGCTTTAAACATGAACCTACCTACCATTTAAGGCTATAACTTTGGTAAGAATCTCCACTTCCTTTCCTTTCTCGCTATAAATACCAGGCCAGGCCGTGTCTCTTCTCATCGTACTCAACAAACTTCTCTCCTAGAGTTTGTTTTACAAGTCACAGAAATCTAAAAGCAATGGCCAGCTCCAAGACTCTTCTGGCTTCCCTTCTCATAGTTTCTCTTTTTGTACTTGGCTTTGCTGAGTCTGATCCAACGGTAGAAGTCCCATTTCTAAAAATGTTCTTTTATTTTGTTTCCAGGTCTCCTTTCTTACGCCAATACTTTGGCTCGCTCATGTTTTACAGGTGATCACGAACATGGTAGAGAATGCTCTGACTGATGACAAAATAGGTAATTTCCTTCAACATCTCGCAGTCCAATGAAATGATTCTGTTTTGATTAAACTTGATAAACGTAATATATATTGCTGCGTTATGTCTATGGTGTAGATTGTGATGGAACTTGTGACGTGAGATGCAAATTATCGTCGAGGCCGAACCTTTGCAAGAGGGCGTGTGAAACATGCTGTGACCGATGCAGCTGCGTTCCTCCTGGCACCTCCGGTAACTATGATGCGTGTCCATGCTACCGAGACATGACCACCCACGGCGGCAAACACAAATGCCCTTAGATAGCTTCATACCACCTCTTGATGTGCATGGGTTTTGAACTCTAAGTAAACTATAAAATAAGCTTTTGACAATAATCGCAATCCAAAAGAGCATGGTTATAGTTACTTGCTTTGGCCTTAATTAATTATATCAAAGTTTCTTAAGTTTTGGGAGTTCGTCTACTTGCACGTACGCGCGTGTATGAATATATATGTCAAATTATTATTGATTTATATATTTACATATATAAAAATATATTTGTGTATATTTCACTTATATTTCAAAATTTTATTTCATTAATTTTTTTGCAGCTGATTATGTTGTCAAAATCAATTGAATTTGGAATTATTTCTCGTGCAACCAATTAATTAATAAAAAAGTTACATAAAAACTTTATTAAATAATAAAAATGTCCAAATCTACTTATAAATTTCGTAACGTTGGGTGAATTATCAAAATCAAGCCCTAAAGTTCTGGCTTTCCTTCCTTTTGTTTATTTTAAAAGATAAAGGAATTTATGCAGGAAAATTTTCTCGTATAATCCTCTGCAATTGGCTTTAAATTCCATAAAAGAAACTTTAAGCTAATCGATGTTTAAAATTTTGACTTTATTTTTTAAACTTTTGAATTTCCCACAATTATGGGCAGAAATCAGTGATAATTTCTTCTTTTTCATGGAAAAGAAATCAGAGGTAATAAATTGCAAATGTCAACCATTTTGGCTTTCAATCAGAGGGTTTCCATTCCCAGGCCATAAATGGTAGTATCTACTTTGGTTCGGCCATCTTTCACTGTTTTGTCTTTTCTTTTAGGGAGCAGAGCTATGGAAATTGTTGGTAGTAGAAGTGTTTTTAAAGGGGTGGTGCTTTCTTTTGTTCTTGTGCTAGTCGCAGCAAAAGATGATCTTCTTGACCATTCCATACTTTCAGATCAGAACCCTTCAGCTCCTGAATCCCTTTCCCACCCTGATATTAGCCGTTATCCTCCAGGAACCCTTATGCCTCCTTTGATCATGCATTGCAAGGACAGGTGTACTTTGCTGTGCGCCCATCTTTTTCTTTCACCCCTATATAGACCATGTTACAATGTCTGTGAGATCAGAGCTTGTATTCGGTTGTACTGATACTTCCGCACGGTCCATGTCTGTCAGAGTCACTCTCAGTAAGAAATCTTTCCCATCCAACTCGTTTACACCTACGGCCTACCTTTCTTCATATATTTCTTCACTTGATGATTTGAGGGTTTGCCTCCAAATTTTACTAAACAATTCTCTTGATCTGACTTTCCAGATGAAGCAGAAGCTGAATACTTTGTGATTTCCTGCAATCAGAAATGCGTGGAATAATAACTAAGCTATTGTTTTGTAAAATTTGCTCTATTTATAATTATACTTGGTAAAAGAGTAATTGGATCTCTTTGAATTGGATTTTCTTGTAATTTTATACCTGTCAAAGAATCTTCTCTGTTTGGTTTCTATTTTGTCCCTTTTAATTTACCATTGAATCAGTGTCATTTTCTGAATTGGGCCATATTGGGCTGAGCCATCTTTTGAAGAAGATCGGTTATCCTGAAAGAACTGTGACCCAGACGGGACTAACCATGGCGGGGTATGGTCCGCATCCAGGCCTCCACCTGGTCTCTTAATTCCGTTGCATCGTGGCCCACCGGCTTCTCTGGGATCATTTGCATTTTCGTTTATTTTTAGATTGAATTTAATTGAGTTTATGGTTGTTTTAATTTTTGCAATAAAATCTCTGAGTAGACGGAGGGAGGACGGTTGACCTGACAGAAGGAATCCGTAGGTTTATCTAGGATTATCGTCCGGACTATAACTAATCTTTGAGTAGCAGTATTTAGTAGTTACATTTCCGTATTATTACGAACAAATTTTAATTATTATTATATGAAATTAATTAATTTAATATTTGCAAAATTTAAGATCTATCCATCCAAAAAGGAAGCATTTGGCCCTAGGGTGTGTGATTCAAACTTCAAAGCACGTTTGTTCTTAAAGACTTGGTGAATAATCAATCAATCTATGCAAAAGCATCACTCTAGACTTCACGTTTTGGCACTTCTGCGATTTGCCATAAGCCGGACACGATAGTTTCTTTTTGCTTTATTGGATTTTCAACTTCATTGTTGTCACCTTTTTGAGTTTCATATTGTCAATTTGTGCAATTATATTTTTCTCAATTATCTGTTCCAAAAAAAAAAGAAACAAAATGAAGAAAATAAGCATAGTGTATCAAATTTGAGACTAGGCTTATTTAGTCAACAGCTCAATGAATATAGTAGTTTTGGTTTGTTTGGTCCCTCTTTTCGATTTGGATAATGAATTGTCTTATTACATTCAACATTCAATTCATTGGTCCAGGCCACTGTTGCAATTAAGAACGGAAAGCTTTATTAATTTTATTAAGTTCAAGCTTAAGAAGCTTTGACCTATAGAAAGTTTGTATACAGAGCTAATTCTATTAAATTTAGCTTACGAAGCTAAATATATATGCGAAGTAAATTTCTTATTCCTTGAAATTGATCCATGGAATTGTAGCAAACTTTGAACTGAGAGTGTGGACCAATCTTACACTAGGTTCATGATTTGGTCCCGCAAATAGGCCAAGATGGCCCACCTTGTATTTATCAAGACCGACTTTGATTGAACCAAATATCTCATTGTTCTTAGTCGAAGCTTGAATTGAAATCTCATCGAATTTGGTCAGCTTACGGGTGACATTGGCCCAATGCTCATTTCCACCATGCACCCTTTGTCTTCTTTCGTTTTTCTTTGTTACAAGGGTCTTGACTCGAGGGCTAGAATCGTCTAAAAAGATTTAGAATCATGGGTGTTATGGTAAAATCCCCTTCATTCACCTGAAAAAAATCTAGAAAGTCACGCAGCATGCGTGACTTTGTTGTTGGGGTGAGCCATGCCGAGGAGGAGAGAATCGAATTCGAATCGGTAGTCATACATCGCATCCTCAATGCCAACCCGATCAGATAATCTCCCGTCTCCTTCCTTCCCATTAACTCGCCGAGCCCCATTGTTTTTTGGTTCCACATCTCGTGACTGTCAACCGTTTTTTTTTTTTTGAATTCAGCTATTTATTTGTATTCACTTTTTAACCACTTCATTCCTCCTCGCGTGTCCATCAACCATTTTGCTACTACTTTAAAAGCAAAAATCTGATATAGAATATGCTAAAAAAATCGAGTAATATGTCTGAATAAATGGATCAAAATTGATTGAATTATATTTAATTTATCTTGCTGTGATTTAATTGATTTTGATGTAAAAGAATTATAATTAAATCAATAAAAAATGGATCATTAAGAGTATAAAAATTAATAAATATTATTAATATATAAATTAATTTTGATTATTTTAATTTTAAATCGAATCTATTGATTTAAATAAATCACTGCCAATTGATAAAGAGGGTGTGGGTGCCACGTGGAGGCCTTCCATGTGAACTGCGATTACGGCCGTACGATGAAGTATAAGTTGAGTTACAGTTACTCCATTTATTAAAAGCACTGAAGTACATTTAACCACCTGAGAGAAAATAATAAAGGAAGGCATCATCGAAGGGTCAAAACTGGCCTAGATTTGACACCGATAATTAATTACCGTGGATTTTCCATCAGCTGGTTCTCAACGTATCCGAATCAACGAAATCACACGTGGCAGACACGTAGGACAAAGATGGCCTGTATTCAAAGGTAAGATCGGACGGCTAAAGCAGTAGATAGTAAATTAAATGGCGCGGATTAAAATGGAATGACGTGAGATGGGATTCGCAGTAGGAGTTGGAAGTATAAATTAAATGAAAGGCAGTTTTTCTTTTGTGATGTTGCATTTAAAAGCGAAATAACAGAGAGAGAGCTTCGGGTTTTCCGTCTTTTGGTAGTTTGTGAGAAAAAAAGGAGAGAGAGAATGTGAGAGAAAGAGAAGAGAATGAACTGCACACATGCTCGCGAACACTCGGGAATTCTGATGTGAATCTCTTAAACAAAAAGGTTGCCGGCTGCTCTGCTGCATTCATTTCCTTCTTCTTCTTCTTCTAGTTTTCTTCTTCGGTTTTACTCTTCAATGGTGGCTTTGGTTCTGATCTATAAAAAGAAAAGAAGTTAAGACTGAAGGGAAAGTGAAAACTGTGATGAAATTTTGGATTTATCGTTTATTTTTTGCTTTTTTTTATTGTTTGGTTGAGAAAGGAGACTCGTTGCATTGATGAGTTTCTTTTGCAATTCTAGTTTGTTCAAAATCGTAAGATCTAGGTTAATTTTTCTAAGCCTTTTAAAGGACTTTTTTTTTTCACGAGGTGAAACAGAGCTTTGCTTTTCTTGTGAATTTTTCTTTTTTTGTCTTCTGTACGCTAATTTTATCTCTTGCTATTACTTACACTCTCCTTTTTGTTTGCCCTTATTCTCTCTTTCTTACTCTCTGAGTGCTTTTTTTCACGAAGAACCTGATTCTCTGAACGCGAGAAACGAATTACTTTTACCTTTTCTTTTGTTTTTTTCCTCGATTTTTTATTTTCTTTTTTTAAAAAATAAATCTCTCAAGTCTCAACTTTGTATTCTTTTTGTCTCTGCTCTCTTTTCTCTCTCTCAAACAAAATGTCTTCTTTTTTTCTTCTGCTTTCTTAGCTAAGAGGGATTCTTTGAAGTTCTTTGCTAAACTCGTAAACAGAGAAAAAGAGAGAGAGAAACGGAGAGATTTCAGGCAAGGCAAGGCAAGGCAAGGCAACTAATTTGATTTATTTTTTCTTTCCTTGGAAAATACAAAACCCAAACGCCACTTTTTCGGTTTCCTTTCCGGCTTACTTTTCGCTCATAGCTAAACTAAAAGAAAAAAAGAAAAACTCAATTCATTTCTTCTCCTCATTTTACTGAATTATGCAGAGATGCAATAAAACGAAGCTTTCTCTGACCTTTAATTTTTTTTTTATTTCATGTTATTGAAAGTGGTCTGAAATTGCAGAAGAAGAAGGATCTGGTTTGAAGCTTTTTACGAAGTGTTTGGCGAGAGTGAATTTGGAATTTGGATCAGTTTTTTTTTTTTTTGAAACCGTGAAAGCCATTTTCGGAAAGGAGCCGCCAAGCGTTAGCTAGATGTTGGTAATGTTATCATGAGAAATGATATCAACAGAAATGGACAAGAGTCGAGACGTGAGGCGTGGAACGAGTCGGTTCTCGCGACAACAGGTTAATACTAACAAGCAACAACAATCTCGACCCAACCTCTTATTTGGTAAATTTACTGGAAAACCCCGACCCTTTTCCTCCCTTGTCGTTTTCTTTCATATTCTCTTCTCCTCCTTTTTGGCCTTTTTGGATAAGAAGAATTTAGTAACAGATAAATGGCTTTGTTTGTCCATTGATTTTGAAGGTTTTGCTGGTGGTGTTGTTGGAGGTGGTGGTGGTGGGGAATTTGTTTGTTTAGAGAAAGCAAAGAGAGAGAAAATACGAAGACTGAGTCGCGTTAATGGTAATAGAGGAAGTCACAGTCCCTGTCCCAATAGCAACCAACACTGTGAAACTGAAATGGGTTGTTGTTGCTGTGATTTGTCTTCTGATAATATAGAAAATCAGTGTCCTTCTCATTCACAACACTCTTCTTCTCTCATCACTAATTCTACCAACAAGAGATTTAAGGTTCCCAAAAAGGTAATCCTTCCTTTTTTTTTTTTAACACACACTAACTAAAAGAAAATGTTTCTTAAATTTTTAAAGCTTTAAATTTTATTTATTTTTCTCTGCAGTTTCTGAATGACTGCAATGTCGTTGATCATGCCTCTGTTCCACGGAAGCTACGGTCAGGTGTGTAACTTGTGAATGAGAAAGTAGGAACGGTCATTATTATTATTATTATTATTATTATTATTATAAATGTACATAATTATTCTAAACGAGAAAAAAGGAAATTCATTTTTTTTAATTTTTTTTATCTCTTTCTGTTTTTGTTTGTTTTTGTTTTTCAGGGTTTAATCAGCCTGTTGTCCTGTCGTTTTAAAATTAAGTTTCCATTTGATGGGGGAGTTGCTGGGAAGTTTCTCAATTTTTGTTTTTGCTTTTGGATTAGAAGTTTAGAACTGAAGCGAAACCGAGGCTTTTTGCTTTTTCTTTTCTTTTTATGGACGCAAGATTCTTTTTGCTGTCCTTTTATAATTCTATTTATTATTATTATTTATGCTGTGACCTTTATGGTGTATTGATTCTTTTCAAGTAACTATACGATGTTGAGTTTTTGCCTCTTTCTATATACTGAAGCTTTTAAAGGAGATACTGGAGCTTTCTGAATTTTAGCCTTCTTTCAATGTAAAGAAAAAAAAGTTTGAGGTAGATGGGATTAATGTTTTGGGATATTTGGTATTTCATTTACAGCCATGAAGAAGCGCAGTCACGAATCTATCTCCCCGCCTTCACCAGATTCAAAGAAACTGAACCATACACTTGATGGAGTCGAATTGCATAAAAAGAATGGTGTAAAGAAACCCAAACTGAATTTGGTTGGTCAATGGTCATTAATTTCCAGGGTGTCAATTTCTATTATCACTCCTTTTGAGTTCAGCATTTTTAGTTGAAGTTGCTGGAACTGCTTTTTTGTAGAAACGAGCAGAATCCAACTGGTCCAGGAAGCCGACTGTTTCTGGGCCAATCACAAAAGATGAGGAAGAGGTTGCGGAGACCCTGTATGCTTTGGCAGGAATGTTCCCTGACAGTGACTCAATGGATAAGAATAAATTGAGTGGTGAATCAATAGAAGTAAAACCTTCAGCTCCTCCAGAGGCAGTGGAGAGTCCTGTCACAGCAATTGAAGGTTTTAATCTACTTCTAACAATTTGGAAGAGTTTTAGTTTGTTGTTATCTGTTGTATAAGTTATTTAATTATGCAGTTAAAAAAGAAGATACGAACTCAGTTTGCTGCCCTCAAGCTGCTAAAACTGCATCCCCTATAGATGAGTCATTTCATGAAGCTGCTAAACTCAATTTTTTTAATGAGCCTACTACTCAAGATCAGCCTGACTTGCCAGGCAGCAAAAAGTCCAAGACGGAACCAGATATTTCTATTTCTCAAATGAGGCTGAATACTACCATCCCTTCCAAGGCTAACAGTGAACCTGGTGAACCTGGTGCTGAGAAATCATCTTGCTTTACTGGCAACTTGCATGGTCTCTCTGATCTAAGCTTAGAAACTGGGTGAGTACTTTTCTTCAACTGACGTGCCCTTTTCTTTTCTAATGTTCTCTTCTTTCTTTTCCTTCAATTTTTTATGTTTCTGCAGATTGAAGCAGTACAAGCAACAGGTGACCACTCCTTTTGAGAGAAAACCAGGGATGGCATTTGGGGTAAGCTTGACATCTAAGTCAAAATTAAATATTCCTTTCATTGATCAAGCTCAAACTCTTATGGTTGCTTTGGGTTATTTCTAGGTCACTGCTTTTGAAAGCCATGTAGCACAGCAACGCATGATCAAGGAGCCCAAAAAAAATGGTAAATTCCGGCTTGCTAAGGAGCTTCCATTACTATATTTAGCTTGATTTGTTTTGCTATTTGCATGCTAACATTCTTATATTGAAACAACTGTGTTTCTGTATTGAAAGGTCTTGCATTGTGGCCAGGCTTGTCTTCTACTGTGCCCCTTGGTGCTCGGAGTCCTGGTTTTTCACAGTAATTCCTTTTTACTGTCATATCTATCTGTTTTGATAACCATCTTTATGGCACCCCTCATACTTTTCACTGTATTCAGGCCATCAGCTACTAAAATTCCTTCTTGGTTGGATGCCGCAATGTGTGGCCCCAGGCCATGTTTACTTGAAAGTGGTTCTTCAACTGGAAAGGTATACATGACATTTTTTCGATTGGCTCTTTTTGTCTGTTTTAGGATTGGCATTTGCGATTTTAAGACGCCCATTATCTCTACATTCGTGAATGTTTCTGTTGAATTTCAAGCATCTAATCAAGTGTGTGGTGAATGATGAGTTGTATAGGTTTCGAAAGTCACCATGGATAAGAAGTCAATGAAGAGGTGTGCCGCTCATGTTTATATCAGTTGTATCATTCGTAATTTACAGATGCAAGACAGCAAAGACAGCATTCGTCAACAGTCTCTTCAGTTGAAACCTCATGTAGGATTAAAGAGAACAGCTCTTTTGTATCCTAACAATCGTAGTAATTTGAGAAATGGTATAAATGGCACTACACCTAGCAGCAGTTCTGGCAACTCTGTTATTGACAGAAATTCTTATGAAGCTAGAAGTGGTATTCAACAGCCAAAAATGCTCCATCAGGATCAGCCACAGGTTGCTTCAGCATCTGGGATGCACACTTCAAAGAAGCAGGTAAGGTCAACTATTGTGATTGCTTGTGGTTGTTTCTTTCTCCCTATCCTGATCGCTTACTGTTTCCTGGCAGAGTTTCGATTTCTTGTCTTTATTGGCTGGAGACATTAGTAAGGAAGCTAATAATAGCTCTAATAAAGCTGGAAACGGAATTGAATCATTGCCACAACCCCAGGTTCCTTACCTTCATTCACTTCCACAACAGCAGCCACTCGTGCCTTTTTCAATACCCCCAACTCGTTATTCCTCCTCTGCTTACACAGACCAGCTTTCAACAGCCACAGCTGCACAGCAGGTTTTATTCTTTATTCCTTTTTCCTCAAGTTGCAAAAAGACGTTTATCTTAGGAGATTGAATTGAGAACCTTTAACATAAACAAGCATTGCGGCCGTCTTAGTTGATGCAATCATATTCTGTGGGATCACTATATGGGTCCGTTGATACGTGGATTATTTAGTGCGCACCCACTTGAAGCCCCTAGGTCGCTGTTTAGGGCTATTACCAACACATTTTCTGATTGTCCTGTCATTTCTTGTGGCGACAGTTTTGACTTAATGTTCTGGTACTTTCCTGTAGGTCCAGCTGCAGCTACCTCAATATCTCAGTAACCCTGTCTGTGGCCCTCCTTACACAAGTCATTCAGGTGTTGCAAAACAACACCAACTCCAGCAACAGCAACGACTCTGGGCAACACACCTAGCAGCTCAGTACAGGCCTGGTGGAACTTCCGCGGTCTTGACGCAATTTCCAAGTTGGCAAAATGGAAAGGCCGAGTCTTCTACGTTGATGCCTGTGCTCAAACTGTCATGCCTTCCCATTCAACACTAGATGCGTTCGGGCCCAAGTACAATCCAGTCCCGCGACATGTACAGCCGGTAATTGCGATTTCTTCCTCATTGCCCCCCGCCAGAGTGAAAAGGCAAGACCATCACCTTCCATCCGTTTATGAAGAAACCAGCGGTGGTTTTCGCGCCGCCGGTGGGCCACCACCGTTGCAGTTACTCTGCAATGAGCGCCTCTGAAGTAGAATGCCCCTTCCACTAGTGATGCACAGTAACATTATTTAATTCTTTCAACTGCACGCGAGACCCTGGTACTCATCCTTGACGTGATCAAAACAGTGAGGTTCATTTAGTTGACCACTCCGGATTCGGGCATGAAATAATGAGAGAGCTTGCTGGTGATCAGATGTTCGAATGGAAATCTCTGAGGTTGTTCAGCCTCATTTAAAGATAAAGTAGCAAGAAGATCCCGTCGAGTTCCCCTTTTGAAGACGGTATTTTGATGCCCATTGCCCCACTGTCTCCTGCTTACAGAGAAAGCTACCAAAGAAAGGCTAATTGTGTATGCTTTTGGTTTACCCTTCGTCTCTGCCTCTCTTTTCTTCTTCTCTCATGTTTGCATCTTTTACTACCAAAAAGATTTTCCCAACTGTAGTTATTCGCTTAATTCCCAGACCTATCTTTCTCAAAAGACTCGAGGAAAAAGAATTAGGGGGAGAGTGCATAGCTCTATATGTTTCAACTTGATGGTATAATTTTCCATCACTATTCTGCTGATTATTCAAGTTGAACACTGAAATAACATGCATATCAATTCCCCAAAACAAAATTTAGCACAAAATTACAAGGTCAAGAAACCTACTCATATATATAAAATACCAAATGGACAACAAGAGAAGCTACCCCATTAATAACACGGGTTTCTTTTACATGCCTTGTTGAAACATTGCACAAACAGTTGAAGGGGAAAAGAGGAGTGCCGGGACACTAGGTATTTAAGTTTTCTGACAATACAAGTAAAGAATTGGCTGTGCAAAACAGATGAATGACTTATAATAACACCCCCCAAAAAAAAGAAGCAAGAATTGAGAAAAATCAACACGACTCTTTCATGCAGAATCATCTTTACTCTAGCTTCTCCAGCTCCCCCATTCTCTCTATGATAGCCTGCAAAGTGCAACAAGACCAACATCAGTGCTAGTTTCAAAGCCAACAAATACTGTCATTGCTTCTTCAACAGGAAGGGAAATCCTGCTAAAAGCATTTAGCTAAAAAGAGATCTTATTCCCATCATTTTCAAAGACATGCAAAACAACAATCAGAATTACTAGACCAAATATGTAAGTTTATGTTTTACTCCAACAGAAGAAATATAATAACGGTGCCACTGCTACGACTAACAATTAGTATGATAAGAATGATGATAGAGAAGTAGATAACCAACAAAAGAAGGTAAGCTGAAAAGATGGAAGAGGTAGAAGGAGAAAAGCTGCAATGTTGATAAAATTAACCATACAACCATCAGCAAGAGAAATAATAGCTAAAAGGTCTCCAGAGAAATGCAAACCTTTTTGCTTGTTTCTTGAAGCTCTCCAGCAAGAATGAATTCATCAAGAATCAGATAAACCTTCAAGAATTTCAAAGGAAAATGGTAAATTTTATTTGCAGAGTAATATGAGCATCAGCAACAATGCACGTGTTAACACTGACAGATGGAACGTATACTCGGATTCATAGCAACAATAATCGAATCTAACATGGTGACTACTCAATGATCAAGTCAGCGCATGAATATTCCAACAAATGAACAAACCAATGCCGACAAGACAGCAGAACTAACTTCCACAGACACAAGATATAAGATTGCAAAAAGTAATTGGACAAGGTAGCTAAAGAAGAGTTGAGAATCGAAATCACAAACTTGATGAGATTAAAGACCCCATCCAAAAATCAAAATGGAAATAAGCAAATATGAAATAAAAAACATCTTTTAGGTAATTGAAACTGGCAGCTTCATATGAATCCAGCAAGTAATGTTCATGCAAAAGTTTAACAAGAAGTATCAGAGAAGTTAAACATACCTTGTGAAAATTAAAAACCAAGTCGAGCTCACAAACATTGCTGAAAAAATGGTCCAATATCTCCACAAATAAATGGATGCACTCCAAATATGCCAACTCATTATCCGTTATATCAACACACAATGAGAAAAACAAACCAGCATACCGCCTGTATATTACCTTGTGCGTACGGAACTGCAACAAAAAAATGCATACAATCAAACATTCAGCAATTATTCCTAAAGTCTAGATCAGGTCCCCTGCTTTTGCATTTCTTCAAATTTCTTCCCAATTTCTTTTGGGGTTCTCCAAAGCCATGATAACCAAAAAGAATAAAGGAAAAAAAAAGCTAAATAAAGTATAAGGAAATCACCAAAACAATAGAAACTTTGTGAACAGATTCAAAACGAGAATCGGGAAATTCACCTACCTCAACGAAATTAGTGAACTTTGGATCTCTGTTAACCACCAGCCGATGAACCTGTAAACGAAAAAATCAATTAAAATTCAAGAACCCTAAGTAAAAAATTCGCCCAAATTCAAAAAACAGTCGAGCATTTTCGGAATAATCAGAATACAGGACACAAAAGGAATGAACTACCTCGTATTCGACCTTGTGCTTCTCGGAATCCTCGAGGGGAACATAGTATTTGGCTAGACGAGTCTTGCCTTGCCTGTTTTGCAACAAAATGAATCGGATCTGCCATGATCAAAGATACACAACAAAGAGATCGAGAAAAATTTCAGATTTTTCTGTCAGGAAAAAAAAAAAACGTCGACTTCAGGGAAGGGAAAGAAGAGTTAAACAGATACAGTACGTACCATTGTTGGAACCCAAGGAATTTTAGGAGTAAATGGCCAAAGAGCGAAAATCTAGGGCACGAAATTGGTACGAAAATGTTTTGTTGTCAAGTTCCTTTTTCTCGTTTCGCAGTTGGCCGAAGGTTTGAATTGAAAGTTCACAAAGACGGTAATGAAACCTAGCGTGTAATCACGCACACGGATAGACGGTACGCTGCGTTTATTTAACTTCGTTTTGTATACGTTGACACGTTTTACTTTCGACTTACAGGTTTATTGTCTATGATTTAGAATAATTAAAGAGTTTACATACACTGAACCGTAATTTTGCCACCTCAGTCAAAAATAGAGTACAGTAGTATGATCCGATATTCACAAATTTGCCCCCCAAAAGAAATAATTTCAATACAAAGACATTTAATTACAATACAAAGATATTCACACATACAAAAACATTTATCTAGACGGTGGTACCAGAACTTGTCCCATAACTACATGGTGATACAAATACAGAGAGATGTCATGACTTCACAAGCTGGATTGAATTTCTGAACTTCTACTCCGTTCTACAGGCTGTTATTGTTCTCACCCAGATGCCTATAACAATCATATTACAAAACTGCAACTGCTTTGGAGAATGATAAAATACATGGCAAATACTTTTTCCCTTGTGGAGACTATGAGGTTGACCTGCCTAATAATCTTGGTCATACTGGGAGTTTGTAGCAGCCAAGAGTGCGGCTCCAATCCCGGAGCCATCCTTCGAATGCTCTATGACGATGTTTTGGGATGTTTCAGGTCCAAGCAGCTCTGCAACTGCCTCTTTTATGTATTGTCTGCACTGGGGGTAGCGCTCATACAAACCTCCATCCATGGCCACCACTGTTCGTTTGCTGAAGAAGGCACTTGTTGAATCTTCCTCTAGCTTTTGGAGAATCCCAACTATTCCAGCGCCGGCTAAGCGTCCAGCCCGCTTCACGATTGTATCGCACACCTCTACGACTATCTTCCTAGAATTTAGGTTGGACTCAGCCTGATTTCAAGATGGAAGAGAATTACGCATGGAGAAAATGCTTCAACATAAATTTTCCATATATGAAATTTATTTTCAGAAAATAGAAGCTGAAGTTCAAAAGGGTAGAGCAATCATGAGAAATTTACCCCGATAACATCATATAGGATTGATCCAACAGTCTGCAGATCGTCTGTGTTGTCCTGCTGCATTGCAGATAAATGTGGGGTTCTACAGATCACAATTCAAAATATAATTCAGCAAGACAATGTCTAGAGAAAGTCATTTTGATGAAATATCAGATGACCATGTATGTTAATAAAGGGAAAACCACGTCTGTTAGGTCTTTTGGTAACTTTGGCTTTCAAAAAATGCTTTAAGGTTTTAGCTAGAAAAATAGATTTATCAAGCAATTTTACTTACTACTACACCAATTCACAACCTGCTTATATATACAAATTCCACAGCATGCAATCAACATGAAGTTTCAAATTCTTGGCTCTAATATTTTGAAGAAGAATTACACGAGTATAAAAGGCATGGATAGTTTTTCGGGCATGGATTCACCAAAAAGAGCACCTTCTTCAGCCATATTCAGCAGAGCTCTTCGTGCAATTTCACCAAGGTACATTCCAGAGATTGCCTTCTCAAATATCTACAACATATGCACAACAACAAATACATCAGACAGGCGGTATTTGAATGGTAGGAGTTAACATAGAATAATATGACAGCAAAACTTTGAGTTTGCCTGCTCCCCAGGATTGATGCTAGCAGCATCCATATCTCTATCAAACACTGTCAAAGGAAGGCCTTTTGAGAATGCTCCCCACTCAAGGTTGACAATCTGTACAAGGGAAATGTCCACAAGGCTTGAATGAGGACTATGATTATCAAATAAGCACATACAGAGAAAATAGAGGACACACGTACCGTTCTTCCAGACGGAGAAAACTTGCCTTGCATTTTAGGGATAGCATCCATCCGTTCCACATAGCAAGCATTTGTTCCTGTACCCAAAATGACAGCAACCACAACATCTTCATCCCAGTATCTAGCTCCAGCCAAAGTTCCCACTGTATCATTCACCTACTAAGCGTAAATTAATTAGAAACTGATTCTATATTGATCTAGAAGAATTTCGAATGACAATAACATAACAAGAACATACCAGCGCAGACACCCGCATATCTAATCCTTTCCTATCCATAGCTTCGTTTAAGCAAGCAACCACATCATTTCCAGCCTGCATAGAGTTTTCCAACATGCAAGTATGGGCATGAATGTCAAAGATCAAGTCGAACTAACATAAATTACAAATGCTACTAGTTCCCAAGATTCAATCAGTTGAGTAACATGTACTGCACTATTACTAACAGCACAATGTAGTCATGGCCCTGACTTTTAAAGGTCCAAACCACAAAAATTAGAATACAAACCGTTCCTGAGACTGCAAAACCCTTGGTCCACTTCATCAGTATTCCAGAATCAATGGATGTCTGCTTCACAGGGAAAGAAAAAGTGAATCCAATTTCCCTTTTCCTTCCAGGAGGTAAGTGAAATTTTCCACCTTCTTGTTGAGCAAAATTTGCCAGCACAGAAGCAATAAAATCAAATAGCTCCTACAGAACCAAGACATACCACATTTACAAACAAATTGCCTATGATGTAAGAGATCAAACGTTCTCATAAAACTTCAAAAAGGGGCAGACCTCAGAGGTACCAAACATGAGTTTTTCAGGAATGGTTACTTGCTCGAATTCAGTGGCGATCACGCGCTCTTCTTTCCCACCTAACTGAACCCTTAGTACCCGGAAGTTCGTTCCCCCGAGATCCAACGCATAAAACAATCCTTTCTCGTTCCTTTCAACAACATAATTCTGTTTTTCAGCTTAAATAAGAAAACCAAGTTACAGTAAAACGAAACTAACACCTTGAAACTTTGAACATACGCACCCAGTAGGCAAGCTATCAACGTAGCTGAGGATCATCTTGAGATCGCTACCGCCATCAACAGCAAGGCCAGCACGCATATCAGCGGACATGGAATCCGCCACGTGGCGAAGAACTGGCAGAGGAGTGGCACAGTCACTCTGTAGCTTGGTCAACATTGGAGCCACTGAAATGGTGCTAGATCGGACAGGCATCCTCATCCGAGGCACCCCCCTCGTCGATCGTCTGATGCGGAACGACGGCGTTGCGGTTGCGGTTGCGGTTGCAGCGACCGACATTGCGGTTAACAAACGACGATCAAAAAACCAAGAACGAAAGAAAAAAAGAAAAAAAGGTACACTCTTTTTAAGAGGCAGAGATGTAGAAAGTGAGAGAGGGGAGCTGCCCAAAAAGTGAAGAGTTGGGTCCTAGAACTTTATTTTTATTATATTAGAAAAAAATAAATAATTACACTAAAAAAGTTTTCTTCCATATAATAATGAACTGTGAATCAACGAACAGCCTGACGGTTTCTTTACCTTCCAGGTGGAATTGGATAACGATTAACGAGTAAAGGGGTAATTGGGTTTTTCCTTGAATGCAAAGACCCAATTTTTTTTATGGGGTTTGGACGGACAAGACGATGTTGACACGACATCTGTGCTTTGTTGCTGTTCGGTCAATCTAATTTTCAGAGTGTTTTTTATTTGTTTTATTGGTGATATTCTCATATGCGATTGAGTACACGATAAGAAGGAAACAACTGCAGATAGTGACTGAGTTTTGAGTCGTACTTGGCTCATTCGTTGTATAATTTAGGCAGGGATTGAGTTATGTGTCCACTTTAAATGTTGGGGCAGTGTCGTGGGAAAGTCATGTATTGATTAGTTTTCATCCAAATTCAGTCTCAAAGAGGAAAACCATGAAATTTAATGGACCATCCTTTTTGGGATTCATTAGGAAAAGGCTAAGAGATCAAAGAGGCCCTTGAAAAGGGGTACTGTGATTAGAACCAATGAAAACTTATGAGAAAAAGCAGAAGAAGGGGGCCAGTTATCTGCTAGAGAAGGGCCCATCCAAGTGTTAGACCAGGGGCCCCTTTGATCCGTTGGGAATAGTTAAAGAGTCCCTCTCTCGCGCCTAATAAAATAAGCGGCAGCAAAATTTCACGAAGACCAAAACCCATCCAATCAACCCCCCACCAGCTTCAACTTCAAATATAAACAGAAGTCCAGTGAAGTGGACGCGAAGTAACGAAGCTCCCTTCCCACGATATTTCTTTTGCTTTGCTCCCCAACCCGCCGTATCACATTCAGGCTACTTGTAATTTGTAAACCACCCTCTCCATATCCCCTTCCCAGTCTTCCTCTTCTCATATATCCTGGTTAACACGGTTCACTCGTTGCCTACTTTCGATATTGGTTCCCTCTTTCATTTCTCTGCTAAAGTTGATGAGCATGGACAGTGAAGGGGGAGTTGTGATGATCAAGAGGGCAGAAATCGATACGAGGGCACCCTTCAGGTCGGTTAGAGAGGCCGTTGCCTTGTTCGGAGAGAAAGTTTTAGCTGGTGAACTTTATTCCACCAAGCTCAAGGAGGTAAATTCCGACTGTTTCTTTCTTTCCCCTTTCAAATTACCCAGATAGATATTCTCATTCTATGTTATTTTGGTAGCCATGCTTGAGTAGTTTCATTTGAGGTTGCCACTTTGCAGCACTGAAAATGTTTCAATTCACTCAAACAACTGGATATTGTGTTTTACCCTCTGAAATTATGTTAAGTAATTCGTTTGAATGCATTGCGGTTGATCATTTTTTCTCTTAGATCACATTTGAAAACAGTTATGTCTGCTTTTCTTGGATGCTAGATCAAGTAACTGTTTCTATTGTCCCTAGATATGCTTGCTTGTGGCTGGGTGCAAGTGTTAAAATTAAGCTGTGGTGCTCCCTATGGTTTTTGGCTTTGTCATGTGATGGAATACAGGTGTAAAAATAACTTATTTGGGTATAAGATAATAGAATATAATAATAAATAGGGTGGCTCAAGCTTTATTAAGGAATCAATCTCTGACTCTTGATGAAGATATCTCCTTTCCCCTTCTAGAATATCTGAACATATTGTTAATACTATAGAAGGGGAGTATTATCCAGCAAGCAAGCAAGCACATACTCTGTCCTAGTCTATCAGTTTCCTTGGAAAGAATCCGTAGTCTTCTAAATTCATCAATCTCTGTGATTGTTC